TATTGCTCCTCTGTCTGGCACTTTTGTGGAGCGCGCGATGCAGATAAGCTCGAAGCTTTAAATAAAAGAATACTTAGATTTATACTTGGAGATTACTCGTCTCCATACAACACTCTTCTCTCAAAAGTCAGCTCTACTTCTTTGTTTAACAAACGCATTCAAAATTTCCTCATTCTGTTATATAAGAGTTTGTTTTCACTCATTTTCCTACTTATATGAAGAATATGTTTTCACTCCGGTCCTCTTCCTATGATCTTCGTGGCAACTACATTCTTTCACTAAGTAAACCTAAAACAACTACCTATGGTCTTAACTCCTTTTCTTACTTTTCAGCTAAGCAGTGGAATGCACTGCCGGACTTTTTTCGTACCAGTTTTTTTGCAGACTTTAAGACTAAAATACAGGATGTTACCTTCATGTAGATTCTTTTTGCCTGACATACTTAAACTTAAAATTGTGAATTGTAAATGATATTTTCTTTCCTTGCATTTAATGTATATATATATATATTTTCTATATAGTTTTTATGTAGTGTCACCTCGAAGATATTAGCTTGTTAGCTACCCTACAATTCGAGTTTAAATAAAGTTTTATGTTATGTTTTATGTTATGTTACTGCGACTTAAAAGGTCGACGGTGGTTTTCACTGGTCGCCTTAAAAGAGGTAACAAAGCCCCGATTTCAGAAGAGTGTAGAGATGGAAAGAAACACAAAATCAGCGCAATGAAAGATACTTACATCTCTCCCCGCCATCTTCGAGTCGGGCGATGTCACGTGACCAAGTCTCTTTTGGAAATTGTAATCGTATGAAGTTATGCAACAGAAAAGTTCCCAGTGCAGTTCAGTTGAAAATAATTCTTTGCGATGATTTTCAAGCTGCTGGTGAATTTTAAGCCTGGCGATACCTGAGAAAAGATTTCTTATATTAGAAGGTAAACATTCAATGAGAGAGGACTTAAGGTGGCTCGATATAGTTTTTCAAGGTCAGTACCTCCTAAGTTTGAGCGTAAACTACGTCGCCATAAACAAAGATTTGGAAAAATTGACACCACAGTTGTAGTAGATAAAGATGAAAATTTGTTATGATCAGGGTTGCAATGACATCGGAGTTGTCATAGCAACGAAATGACGCCATTACCTATTTTACTTGCAGTAGTATTTCTCGGCACTGGGAACTGTTCTTCCAAAATCGTTTACTGGAGCTTTTACCTACGATAGCTGCCCCGATGTTCGTGAAGTTTAAGCGAAATCTGTAAGAGCATTATCGAGATATTTTGGGATGAAGTTTTTATGGTTAGAAATAGGGTAAAAGATTGACAATCTTGATGTTCGACTGTCACCTGTACTAAACGAAGCGCTTTTGACATGCAATTTCACCTCATAGTAGTTTCAATCGTTTTAAAAACGTGTGTGAAAGATCATGGAGATACCTCCAGCCGATTGCTAGAAAGGAGGATTTGATTAGTATGTATCAAGGCTCTCTTGTTAGCGGTAATGTAAACATTTCGGTCTACTTTAACAAATTAGCGAATAATTTTTAAGCCGCTCGATAAATTTTTTAGAAAATTTAAGAATCTTGAGATTAACCCTCCTTTTAGATGACCTCTTAGTTTCAAGATTATTGATATATTGTAAGGCAGTAAAATAAGGGCTTGAATTCGCTAACATTTTGTCAGAAATTTTGTGTTTACAAGTGAGAGCCTCTCATTATTCAGGGGTATTGTCTCCAAGTTTCATATTTTCGTGCATAACAATAGCTAGCAGTTTTGCATATGTCAAAAGCATTGTTAGTTACTGCTGTTCACGTGAAAATGAAACTTTGAGACAATACCCCTGAATAATAAGAGGCTCTCACTTGTAAAGACAAAATTTCTGACAAAACATTAGCGAATTGTAGCCCATATTTTACTACCTTACAATATATCAATAATCTTGAAACTAAGAGGTCAAATAAAAGGACGGTTTATCTCAACCCTCTTAAATTTTTTAGAAAATTTATCGAGCAGTTTAAAAATTATTCGCTAATTTGTTAAAGTAGACCGAAATGTTTACATTACAGCTAACAAGAGCGCTCCGATAAGTAATAATCAAATCCTTCTTTCTAGCAATCTGCTGGAGGTATCTCCATGACCTTTCACACACGTTTTTAAAAAGATTGAAACCACGATGAGGTGAAATTACATGTCAAAAGCGCTTCGTTTAGTACAGATAACAGTCGAACATCAAGATTGTCAATTTTTTATCGTATTTCTAACCATAAAAACTTCATCCCAAAATATCTCGATAATGCTCTTACAGATTTCGCTTAAACTTCACGAACATCGGGGCAGCTATCGTAGGTAAAAGCTCCAGTAAACGATTTTGGAAGAACAGTTTCCAGTGCCGAGAAATACTGCTGCAAGTAAAATAGGTAATGGCGTCATTTCGTTGCTATGACAACTCCGATGTCATTGCAACCCTGATCATAACAAATTTTCATCCTTATCTAATACAACTGTGGTGTTAATTTTTCCAAATCTTTGTTTTTATGGCGACGTAGTTTATGCTCAAACGTGGGAGGTATTGACCCTGAAAAACTGTATCGAGCCACCTTAAGAGCGACGGTCAGGGAATATCGACCATCGAGTTGCAAGAGTTGAAAAATCGATTGCCCTCATTTTTTGTCCAGATAAATAGCGTTTAGGTAGAGAAGTAATCTGATATAAGTTGTTCTCGCAAAAAGCCTTTTATTATCGAGAAAAGTAAGAATATCAGTTTTCGTGGTCGGAGTCTCAAAATGACCGTAGTTTCAACCCGAAATTTGCTAACATTAACTCTCCTCGCGTTCGCAAATAAGGTCGCAAGGAGAAATTTGGACAATTTCCATCAATTCTCGGTTTTCACATGACGTCATCAAAATTCAAACTAAGAAACTATCGATTCTTCTGAGTCTCTGAGTTTCATGAGGTATTACAGCACCTAAACACCTTTATTTAAACAGAGGCTTGGTTCGAAAGGGTTCTTCGTTTTGCGATAGAGGACGTTTGAATTTCTAGGCTTTTGCGTGACGAGGCATTTAGCTGGCGGCCGGGACGGCTCTTCTGTGGGATAAAAACATTACCAATTTTGAGAGATTTTGCCATCTAAACATTCCTTGTCTCAGAATAAATATCACTTTAATAGTTTATGAGTTTTTCAAGCGATGAAGTAACGCATTAGTAGGAAAACTCGAAAACAGATGTTTCTGTTGGTTTCCGGCGGCCATATTTGTGCTCCTCAAAGGGACGCAGACATGGCGTCTCCATACAAAGCTTTATAAACTTGGGTAAAACGTTTTTCCTAATATCTCGCATATAAAATATCGCATAGACCTGATTCTTGTCGAGCACTTTTGCTTATTTATCTTCTTTTATTTCCTAGATTCGGGACTTTCTGTTTTGAATGGTTTGCAATTTTATTTTTAATTGTGTGATAGTGAAAACCGAGAATAGAACAACTCTTCTTCTTTCACTAGAAGATACTTTCAAAGCAATATCAAGACTCGTTGAACTAGCATAAATCAGAAACGAAGAACATGTTTTTACGGTGACAAAAAGTTTAATTTAGTAGTTATTTTCTGCGGCATTTTCTTCATGTAGTATAGCTCCAAATTTTCCTGGTCCTCGTTTATTCACGCATTTAGACATTCATCTAAAACATACCTGAGAATTGTCTTGGTTTCCTTTAGGCAGGCTACAAACGAAAGCATCAAAGTCCGGTAAAAATAGTGAAGCGTGACAAAAATAACTTATTCCAAGGCTCCAAGTTTCCTCGATCGTAAAGTAAGAAAACGAAATATCTTCTTGCTCCGTCATCCTTAGCGAATTACCATTGTTAAAGTCCATATTTTTCGATAAAACGTGAGTACCAGAAAAAGCGCGTTTGACTTTTTTTTCTTCAAAATACTGTCGGGATCGAAAATGTTACTCTTTCAAGAATTGCGTTGCGTTACTACCTTGATTCCGTGACTGTCATTTAACGGCTTCGTCTCTTCAAACGTACGTTATGTCACGTGCAGTCACGGAACAGATTGTCACGCAGAGTCGCCGTCTGGTAGGGTTCAGCGTTTTAAAATGGCTAAAATTGACCCAGTTTCACCTTTTTACCCCACTCTTTGATTAGAAAAAGAAATTTTGCAATGGGAAAACCTACAAGAAGTACAAAAAACGAGCCTTTAGGCTGTAAATATCTACTTTTGTGCGTTTCGAAATTGAAAGTGTTTGCACAATTACCGCCGGCCTATCATGAAAATTCCTGAACTTCAATGGTGTCTTACAGAGATTACGTTCAATAATCCAAGCCAATTCCCAGGTATGTCTTAAATGAATGTTTAAATGTGTGATTTAAATAGCATTAAGAGAATTTGGTGTTATACCACATGTTAAATATTGCCGTCGAAAATGAGTAACGAACTTAAGTTTTTGTTATCCTGAAAACCTATCCCTCATTTTTCAATTATTTCAGTACGACGAGCTTCGCTATTACCCTGAAAGTATCTTTAAGTGGAAGAAAAATAATTTTTCTGTTCATGGAAAGAGTCCAAGTATCTCCATGCGGCTTCGTTTGCGAACGCGAGGAAAGTTAATGTTAGCGAATTTCATGTTTAAAATTAGGGCAGTCTAAGACCTCGACATTGAAAACCGATCTTCTAATTTTTCTCACAAATAAAAAGCTTTCGGCAGGAACAATCTACTTTAGGTTTCTTATCTACCCAAAAGGTATCTATCAACAAAAAATGAAAGAAATTGATTTTTGAACTCTTGCCACGAAATTAAGATTTTGGTCGATTTTTCCGACCGGCGGTCTTAAATATTTCGTTTTCAAATTACAGGTTGTGGTTTTGCACTTTATTCAACCCTTTTTCTTGTGGAGTTAAAGTAAAAACAAGAACGATAAGCTCGATAGCAACATATGAATTACCTCAACTGATTGATGCTGTTATAGAACTTCAAGGTTTGCGTGTAAACGTCGATCGATCTATCATGCGGAAAGTCTTACTATCTATTTTTGGTCTCTTCATCAACATGGTCTGCGTTTCTAGCAGCAGTATTTACTGCTCCATTTTCTGGCATCCTCAGAATCCTCTGTAAGTAATGATTTGTAGTGTGTAACTATTCAAGTAAATATGCTTCGACGATTTATACCGACGTGAGTATTGCTCAAGCTCTAATTCATAGGTTTCCTCCCGAACAGAACTAATTCTCAACTCTGCATTAAAGCATGTTTGCTTAGATCTTCAACCATTTTAATTTTGCTCGAACGGAAAGTTCATTCCGTGCTCTTGATTCCATATTCCTACAAAAGTGGCTTTTATCAAGCTAGATAAAAGGATATTAGATATTCGATGTTATTTTACAAAAATAGGAGTAACTGACAACAATAATCCATGTCTAAACCAGGTCACTTTGAGGCAAGCTAAAGCTTACAAAATTCTTTCAAAATCTGTCATGAAGTGATGTCTCGCACTTTAACAGCGAAGGACGTGCACCCAAAATTAAGAGAGATCCTTCAGTATTTTATTAACATCAATCTTCAATAGATTTTTTCCAATCAACCTGTAGGTTAAATCAAATTTAACCTGAAATCAAATCTGACCTGTAACATAACTGCTGCTGCGACAAAAATGCAAATATTTTGAGATGTGCGTTTGTGATCCTGTGAAGAATCCAGTCTGAGTGCAAAAAAACAGAACTCTTGTAAAATAATACAGCTATAAACAGGTTTTTCCTTAAAACCCGTGTGAAAAACCTCGGAATTCCATGGATTTCCACGGAAAATTCTCCATGGAATTCCATGGAGGATTAGGACATTAATTTCCATGGAATTCCATGAAAATTTCTTCATAGATTTCCATGGAAAATATTTGCATGGAGGATTAGGACATTTCCCATGGAATTCCATGGAAAACATTAGGACACCAATTTCCATGGAAATTCCTGCATCGACATTTTCCATGGAATTCCATGGAAAAGTTCCATGCAATTCCATAGAAACTACTCCATCGATTATTCCATGGATCTCCAGGGAGTTTCATGGAATTCACAGGAATTACACATTTAAAATATCTAGTGAATCAAATGGAATACATAACAGATTTTGGTCCAATGCAATTTATTTAATCAATAAAAGGACCGCATAAATCTCTTTTGAAAGATATCAATCAAAAGTTAACATGCTTTTGGTGGAAAATTTGACATACTGTAGCTAAAACAAATTAATGTTTACTTGTGACTAATTATACATTGCAGTTTAGAATGCAGCAATCATATTGAAGTAGCTTAAATGAAAAATTTAGATTTAATATAAAGCAAGGAATCTTGGCCTGTTGTTTAAGAAAAGTAACAGGCGAACAGATGCATAATTGAAAGAAAAATAAGCTAATACTTGAATGCATAGACCGTCAGTATGTAAGACCTAAACATGGCGACGAAAAAGGGAAGTGCTACTTGTTTCCTCGATCAGAACCATGGTATTTAGTTATAGCAAAGTCCTACCTAATCCTTGGGAAAAACGGGCGTCAGCCACAATTATAATTTATCAGTCTGTTGTACAGTTTTTTCGTAGCTGGCATGAAAATTCTAAATATGATATTTTTTCTTATACATCGAAGCAGTCCATCGAAGTACAGTCTTCGATTTCTAATTCTACCAGTTATTATTAACTATTCCGAAGGATTCCAATGGCAATTTGCAGGAAAGACCACATTCATATCTGTATAAACAAAAAAGATGAAAACTACATATTAAAACCGATAAACAGCACCCGAAAAGTCACCCTTCTAAATCTAGCAGAGACAATAGAGCGGACGAATTCAGTTGAGCAACGAAACACGAGTTGTGTACATTAACATATTAAGCTAACCTTCCTCCTTTAATGTGCGATCCAGCTGAGTCATTGTTCAATCGAAGTTGATTTGAAACAAGCCAAATGTAAGCAACCTAACAAGTGATATTTTGCGCTGAAAATAACATCTTTTTCGGATGCATTCATTGCAGACAATCCGTTTACACAACACTGTCGTACTGCACAGAAGTCCGCCTAAAGATTCGAACCAAGAACACTGATCTTCTACGCATTTCTATTGGTTCAAAAGCCCCACGTGATCGCGTAAGTCACTAAGCGGGGAGGCCTGGACGCCAGTTCAAGCACCAAACATGGCGTCAAATCACGGCACAACCGTGGAGATGTCTGTCTTTAAACGCTTTAAATTGTGGTCCCTTTCAGAGTTAATTGTACTATTCCGACACTGTCGAATAGTAAAGCAGTGAGAGGAAAATATTGCATTGTTCTCCCAGGTGAGGTAACCTTTGAAAAAAGGCAGCAGGCTTATTCATAGTCTGATACACAGCCGTTCTTAATAGTGTCGTCACGCAACGCTCCTCCCCACTAAAACGGCTGTGTAGCAGACCAGCCTATCCACGGATGCGGCAAAAAAACTCTAATATTGCTTGTGTAGGTTCGCCCAAATACTCCATTCAAAGCAATTTCATCAATCAGGTTGGACTCGAGTAATAGGGAAAATCTTAGCTCTCAACCGAAAACACTTCGATACCGGGAAGAGTTATGTGCCCAGTGGGATCATTTAAGTACGGGACCCGTACATCGTCTTATATTTGCTATTCATACGGGATTCCGACTAAACTGATTAGGGCTATTAAAGCACTGACTCGAAACGGTTAGCTTCCAATTAGGGTTACGGTTTTTTTATATGAGTAAAATCAAACTCCACCTAGCAGAGAGTTACTTCTCTATGGTAGAGTGGTTAGGTTACGAACTGTGGATTCTACGCCCCTGGATCGGTTCTCAATCTTGCCACATCGAATTTTTCTTCTTTTCCAAATTTGCCACTGAAATTTTTTCCTTAAAAATGGAACAGTGGTTGAAGAGACTTACACTTTCATGGAAATTTGTTGATCAGAAATTTCAAGAGACTTGAAAATTTCATATAAATTTCAAGTAGAGACTTGAAATCCTTGAGAGACTTGAAATAATTGAAATTTCAATTAGAGACTTGGATCCCGTATGTCATAGCAAATACATGTCGGTGTACGGGTCCTGTACGAATAGCAGCACTGTGTCAATGTAATGAAGCAACTGCATGTTGCTAATAACAGTGATCTTCTCATATTTCAAATGCAACACTGCGTTTAAAAGGATCATTTTTTTATTAAGCACTCAAAACATTCCTCTTTATAGTTAGCAATAAAATGTCTTACACTGGGACTTTCAGCGTTGCCTGCATGTCGGTGAACAATACTTTTGCAATGTCTGTGTAATTTAAACTAAATGCACTATTTTACTTTTAGAAAACTTCCAAATGTTTCCTATTTTTCTATCCAATAAAAAGTGCAGACTTGAACATGTGGTTCTTTTACAGGGTTTGCAAATTTTATTGATGAGTGAAGTCACTGTGACTTCTGCTTCACAAATTTTGGAGTCATTTAGGAATATTTGGAGTCGAGTATCACAACGAAAAAAGCCATTTTCAGACTTTCGAGCACGTAGTCCTCTCGTGTATACACTATCGTGATGGATACACGAAGTAGCTGTGGCGGTCCGCTGACCTGGAAAGCTCAAATCCATGATGGCGGTCATCCAATAAACTTTGATCGTAATTAACCCTCTTCCTATTTGGTCGTGCAGTATAATTCTTTAATTTCGATGATTTAATTAAGGTTTACAACGTTTACAATTAACCGAAAATTTCTGCAGTCGAAGTGGCTCCCTGTTTGTTACCGAAAATTTCTGGCGTCAAAGTGACTCCCTCCGTAACCTCTGTGGAGTCATCTGAACAATTTTGGCGTAAAATACGCCAAATTTGGAGTATTTGCGAACCCTGGGTTAACAAGTTGATGAGTTGCTTGATAACCGAATTTCTATGGATTTTCTCATACAAACTGCATGGTATTATATCGAACTCCATGGACACGCTATCGCATTCCATGAAACTGCATTGGTACTTCAGGGAACCCCATGGCATTCCATGGAACTCTACAATGTTCCCTGGAATTCCATGGACCTCCAAAGAAACTCCATGGAATTTCATGGCAGTCCATGGAACTCCATCACTACTTCATGGAACTCCGAGGAACTCCATGGCATTCCATGGGACTACATGGATACTCCATGGAACTCCATTTCATTCCATGGAACTCCATGGAACTCCATGGAACTCCATGGCATTCCATGGAACTCCATGGGTACTCCATGGATGATTTCCATGGATTTCCATGGATTTCCATAGATTTCCATGGATTTCCATAGAGGTATTTCACAGGGGAAGCCTACATTATTTAACAGGAGCTGAAACAGAGCTACAGCTTGCCCTGAGTAGTCTACTATGTTGAAACTTAACCGTTTTGGTGGATAGGTAAGGATGGTTTAGGGATAGTCTATGACGTCATCCATTGTTATAACCTAGAGAAAAAGTGCGTTCCTCCACACTAATTAAGTGCCTTCCTCCATATACTGTAGAATGAAGTGGATAGGTTTACTAATGAGCGTCTCTCTACTACAATAGGCACAAGAGGGTTGTCTTGGCTTGCCCGTTAAGTAACTTGAGCCCAGATAAGAGAAGCGATCTCCTAGCAACGCGAGAAGCGGCTTCCTATATCTTATTTAGCGCTAAATTCTAAGATATATAAACAAAACACATGCAGAAAGTGAAGTTGAAAAGTCTTTGTTTCAATTTAGTTTACGTCGTCTTATTTAGCGCTAAAACTCGGATATAATATATAGATTTAGCCAGGGCTAAAAGCGAGGCTCCCATTAATAAATTTATAATTTAAATCAAACAATAAACTTGTATTCCACAATTCAGTTAACTTTAGAGCACATTCGTGTGACTTTTCAGGGAAAGGCTAAGTGATTTTACAAAAAATAATTTGCAAACAGCCCAAGAGTGAACCAAATCTCACATCGACTTGATAGCCTCATAAGTACACCCAAAAACTGGCTATCATCTTCGATCACATTTATTAAGAGCCATAATGGCTCTTGATCACCGTAGATTAATTAGGCCTGGAAAAAATTCCGGCCGAATTTTTTGCGTTCGACAAGTTTATTTTACAAAATCTTGCCAAAAAATCTGGGTGCGTGTAAACCAACCTTTTATATCATTTATACATCACATCTGAGGTGAAACAGTACTATGAGGCACTGTTTTTATCATACAGACCTCGGACAACAGAATGCAGTATTTCACAAAATTACGATACAAATTGCTATTCAGGACGATCGAAGCACGCGTGGGCTTTAGCCGCAAACCGTTGAAAAAATTTTCAAAACCATCTATACGGCCGGCCAGTTCTGACTTTTACAGTGCTAGCAGTGGCGAGTGTTTGAATGAACATTAACAGAGTTACGTTCCAACATAGTAAAGAATTTATATGTTTTTTTTTATTTTAAAACGATTTAACGCGCGGCATTTTGAGTACTCCGGGAAGCGTTGTTTACTGAACGACTGAAAACAATCGGCACAGCGATTAAAATTACAAGAGAGAGTACTAACAATCAATAAAAGAAGTATAATTGGGTGAATCATATACAGAGACGACAATTTTCATTCAGGGAAGACAAGTATTAAAGTGTCTCTAAAAATCCTGAGTCTTCGAGCTTAAAGCTGAAGTTTACGTTTTAAGCCGGCTTCCCAGTGTTTGCTTCTTGTCAAAGATGAACTTGAGGCAACAAAATCGCTCAAACCTTTCTTTTACAGCCAGAATTATAACTAAATACTCTTTGAAACGTTTTCTCTGTATTTGCGGTGAGAAAATGTCTAAAGGCTTTGAAAGCTTATAACAAACCTGATACTCGGTCAGATCATTGTCTCAAATCTTACAAACGTGCGTAAACAAAATAGCCGCATAAACTACGCTCGACTTCATAAAATTAGGAATAAAAAACAAACATCAAATACAATAATTACTTAGGCTTACCACTCGAGATGCAGCTCCTGAAAGGTATCAAGTAAGGCCAGTATCGCTTCAGACTTTGCAACCCTCTTACGCATTAAGCAAGGTGAAAACGAAAACGATGCCATCCGAAATCGGATTTCCGACTTTGACTCAACCAAAAACCAAATAAACAAACTAGCCATGCATGAATAACAGAAGACTCCTGATAGCAGCTGAATTTCATTTTGTACATCCAGTGGAAAAAGAAAGTTAAAAACATCACAAGTTGACACAAAACTCTGTCAGCTTCAGCTGTCAAAGTAAACAAGATTCAAGATGCTGCATAAATTTTCCGCATGAACTCACCTGTCAAATTTTGACCAATCAGAGCACAAAAATTGGACGTAGAGCGTGACCAACGCGTGAACATGGCGAGAAAAGTCAAAAGCAACTGTCTTCCCTGCCTTAGCAGCTGGCTGAATTTTCGCGTCCGAGGTCAGTTTGAAATCAAAATTTTAATTGTGCGGCACAAATTTTTTGAATTTTTAAAAAAATTAAACTTGAGCCCTCGATCATTTGAAAAACAGTACCTTGTCAGCGGATAACTTCAAAAAAACACTTGACCTCGATGGGTCGACACCTGAGCCCGCGATACAGTCAAGTGATACTGGTCAGCGGATACCTTGTTTTGACAGCTGTCAATGGATCACAACATTGACGTGTATCAGTTTTCCTGTGCTCCGATCCCAAACTAGCTAGAAAGTATGAGACTGAACATTGATCGCGATCTAGTAAAATAATTAACTGGTCAGAGGACAGCTTCCAAATAAATCACGTCACCTCAATGAGTTGACACATGAGCCCGCGATATAGTCATGGGATACTGGTCAGTGGCTATCCTGTTTTGACAGCTGTCAATTGATCATATTGTGAATGTCCAATGTAAAAGATAAGGACTTGGCAAGACACGCCTGAGACACCCCCCCTTTCCTTTTGATAGTCTCCCCTACCCCACCCGTACAATCCGTAGACGCGTACGTACGTACGCTCGGTCAATCACTTGACAACCAAAGGAAAAGAGGTTGACCATAATCTATGGGTATAGGGCTCCGTCTCACGCGCGCTTGGCGCGCGTGGGAGCCCCGCTATAAACAAAACACACGCACATATACACAAAGTGGAGCTGAAAACTCTCTATTTCAATTTTGTCTGACTATTACAGAACCGTTATCTCCTCTCTATCTCGAGGAAATGAAAAACTATTTAAGTCTCAGCGTTTCACGCGCTGTTAGTCAGGTAATTATGCGAGTCCACAAGCCCACCGTTGCATACAAATTAGCTCTGCAGTAAAACACCCAAGGGAGCATCTTGACGAATTATTATAAAAACACACCCCCAAAAAACAATTAATAACTTAACAAGGATTAATTGAAACACGCGACTAATAATTGCTAGCAATAAAACCAGACACGTTTCTTAAGACAAGAAAACAACTTTATCACCCATTATTAAATTAATTTTAAAAAGATTTAATTAATATATTCTAAGATTCTATTAAAATAGTCAAGAAGGCAAGCCATCCTTTTTTTTTTACACTGCGTACAATGTTTTCCTTGTTTATATTCCTCTCCCTTTTGGTTTTTATTTCCCTCCTCCTCCTCCTGACTCCACAATTTTATTATTTTCCCCCCACCACCACCACCAACACCACATACTGCGATACTGCGATACCGTACCGTATTGCAGCTTATTAGTAATACATCTACATGTTAACACAAAACTGATTTTTCACTTCAATATTTCCATAGATTTAGAAACAAGAGCCAAAGTTGTAGCACAGGATACATGACTCTTAAAGTCCGACTGCAATCTAAAGTCATCTTCATATGTCCAAACACAGCCACTGTGTTACAAAAAACTTTAACAGCACCTCAATCTGCAACCATGTATGAAAACCTTTGGATTACCTATGACAGAAGTGTGTTTGACCAATGTAATACATCATTAAGCAATACTAGCAACCTTTTATTCCAATGCAATGATCCAACAGCATTGAAATATTTTCCTGTGGTATTTGCCGAATTTACAGCAGACCCAAAATCGCTGAAGTTTAAAGATGGAAAGAAGTATTATTTTATTGGTAAGTGATAGAAAGTCAATTTTACAGGACTGAGGGACCCAAATTATGGGCTGAAGTTTGGAGGGGAGGGGGGGGGGGGGAGAAGAAGTGTTATTTTAGTGGAACGGGTGAAGAGTCGCAGTACCTTAAAGTTTCCACAGTAGTGACTCCCTGAGAGTTAAACGAACCAAGTTCTGTTTCTCTATATCACATAAAAAATTAATGCATGATCAGTGATGTTGAGTTTTATGTACTTATCATGTAAAATTTGATGCCCAGTCCAAAATCATTTTAGTCCCAGTCCACACACCAATCATTTGACTGTAGTATTTGTGTGAAAATTCTTCTCAGTATTATTAGTTACTTCTGGGCCTCTTTTTCTATAAGATTGCTCTCTTGACTAACTTACTAACTAGGTTTTATTACGCTAGATGTATATTACATAAAAGGATATTCTTCAAAATCATCTCCATGTCAAGTCAACAATTGTTTTGCATGTTTTCTTATTGTTTATCTATTGTAGGGACATCTGATGGCACACAGACACACCTCAATGACCTTAGTGGAGGTCACTGCAATGACACAAAAACTGGAATATTTATGAAAATTGAAGTATATGTCTGCAAAAAAAGTAATCTAACTCATACAGGTAATGTTCAATTACTACAGTGAAATTAAAAGAAGTGTTGAAGTACAGTGTACACATACTGTACAGGTACATGCCATGGTAACTACATGTAAAAAGCTTTGAATAAAAAACTTCAAGGTGAAGTTGATGCCACAATAACTGCCTTTAACGCTAGTTGAGCTGTTTTGTGGTCACAGTCTGGCTTTAGACTGCCAAAACGTCCCATAATGCCATTTAAAGTTTGTGCACTTTGCAGCCTTCTGTTACAGATTTAAAATATCAGCCTCTGAAGTTTGGGTATGTGTAGACAGCAAAATTTTGGAAGAGTTTTTGTGTTTAAAAGTCACACAGTAGTCTCGACTTTTACCTTTTGCTTTCTCTCCTTCCCTTTTCTTTCCGCTTCTTTGCCCGTTTTCTTGTTATTTGCTGGGCATTAACTAGGCTTTCTCATTCTGGTGGAACACTTCTGTTGAAAAGCTTTTAGGATTATAGGATTTGGTGGAAGGAAGTGCGGGTGGGTAATGGAACAAGATTTTTCTTAGGATTTTTGGGTCAAATTTTCATGGTGTTTGAACTTTTCTCCGGTCTTCTTGATTGAAATGTGCTCATTCTGGCATGGTGGGAAGGATCTTTTCCTCCTGCACAAATAAGGAGACCAGGTTCTCCTCGACCGTTAAGACTGATGGTGTGACAGGTGGTACAACCCTCGTTGGTCTGCACGGACGGTTATACATGCTTTGAGGGGCGAATGGGTTCAGAAGGTTTTCCGGAGGGTCATGAGTTTTTTTCCGATGTTAGTAATCTGTCTTATTGAGAGTCAAGTAAAGGGACGAAAAAAAGGCAGGGACCAAGTCTAGGTGTCTGTTTTATTGAGGTGTCCATCTTAAGTGTCCGTTAAGAGAAAGTCGACTGTAAATAAATTCTTTAAAACAATTTTGCCAGACGAAGACTGTCCAGAAGAAGATGTGGGTGTCCTGAAATGTCGTGATAATCCAACTCCAACAACAGCCCTTCCTACAACAGTTCTGCCAACAACAACAACTTCATCATCATCATCATTCATGTCATCAGTAATGCCACCAACCAGAATCACTACTCAGGCACCTTTTACACAAGCTGCACACACATCTACAGCCAGTACAGTGGAAGTTAGCAGCGTAAGTGAACAAAACTCAGTCACAGAATCGACAAACACAACATCCACAGAGCTAGCCAGCAATTGTCAGCCACAGTCTGCTCTGCAAAGGGGTGATGACCGCTTGAAGACAGGTATGAAAATCAACAAGTGTTGTTACAGTAGTTTGTTGCTTCTTATTTTCACAGACTTTTTTACTTTTGTATAAATAACGATCCCAGTCGCCGTGTGTGTTTTTGAGCATTATTTCTGTACAGTTCTACAAATTGGTGTCTAACAGTTTCTTGGTTGTTTAAAAGAACGGTTTCCTTTTGAAGCCCTCGTACAAGTTGCTTTTTTCAATGTTTAAAAGCCTGGTGCATCAACAACCAAAATTTTCTTTGTACATACATGTAACACTTCCATGTGAACTGCATAAGTCTTCATAATTATCACAACTACTGCACAGGTTGTCGAAACGTAAGTCCCTGCCAACATCAACAGTCCTACTCAGGACAACTGTACGTCCACCCGGACGATCATACTCAGCCTTTTTAAGAAATGACTCCTGGGTTCAAACCTTTCACAGTATTATATCTTGCAGATATTTTCCAAAAAGCAGTCAACATGCCTCAGATGGCTTCTTGTTATCTTAACGTAGTAATTTTCCTACTTTATTTTTCGTCGTCGCCAGCCTTCTAAAAATGTCCAACTATTTTCTCAAGCTTAGCACAAAAAAAACAGCTGTGCTGGTGGCTTTGTATGGCGTCGTTCCTCCAATAATTTTTTTACTTAACGGACGATCATGGCGTTGGACTCGTATTCAGACGGTCCCGGCTCCGAGTCCCGCTCTGGCCACCATCTGAATTTGTTCTCGGTTTTCCCGAGTTCAAATTTTCGGCAGATCTTCGGCCACGCTTAATTTGTAAATAGCCAACTGGTTTCACAAACAGCCATTATGTTGAATGAATAATATCAGGGATGATGACACCCACAGGTTTTACAGATCTTAACTATTCAAAATTGTTTTCCACCAACAGAGTTAAAATATTGGAGGACTTGCGGAATTGTCGCCCTGGTTTTGCTTTTTATATGTTTCCTGGTGATTATAGCTCTAATCATCCGTCCCGTCTCGTGCAGGTAGGTTCTTATTCACGTTCATCTTGTTTCAAAACTACATTCTCAAACTCATTAATAATTCATAAAGAAAATACTAAAGAAATAAATGTTTAATAAGCGTTTGGAAATCAGATGAAAAACTGGTCATTTTTGCATCCTTAATTTCTCCTTCTAAAATCATTTTGTTTGAGAATATCATAATATCAAGCATAATATCATAATATCAAGCATTCGACAAAGTAAATCATCACCTAATGAACCACTTCGAAGTTCGTCTTAAATACTCCGCTGCGCGTCGTATTTTCAACTCCCTTCTCGGTGTTTCATCTAGTGATGAAACACTACGTCTCATGATAGTATTACTTAACTGGCTTGCAGTTTGTATGTAAGCGGCGTGATAGCGAGTGCCCCTAAGCTAAGCTGCAGACACCCCCTTTTAGTCGGTCAAAAGTAAAGCAAAGTAACACTTTATTTTAACAGGCTGGCCAAATCACCTCAAAGTGATGGTCTCCATGGGTGCCCTGCGTCCTGAAAACTACTTTTCGTTAAGAATTTGAGATTACATTGTAAAACCCGAAAACACAATAATAGAATAAAATATTGTAACTGTATATTTAAAAGCACTAAAATAGATGCAAAAGTTTATTACACGGTACATGTACATTTTAAAAAATCCTTATAATACTAAGATTTCAAGAAAACTTCAATAAAAGTTACCAAACAAATGCCTCGCTCGGCGGCGGAAAGTCTGTATGCTCTGAGCGTTTGCTGTGTTAAAGGGAGTTCAAAAGGGAGTCGGAGTCAGAATGGTAAGCGGAGTCGTAAGAGCGCCTATGGTCTTGTGAAAATAAAAAATCGGAGTCATAAGCCCAGTTATAAGCGCGACGGAATCGGAGTCGGAAGAATCAGAACGGTTCATTTTCTTCCAACTTCGCTAACGATCCCGTCGTTTATTTAGTGAAAACCATATTGTCGGAGTCGGAAGCAGAAGCAGAAGAATAAACCAATCACAAAGCACGTTTTCACGCTTTGTGATTGGTTTAGGTCTTCTGCTTCTGCGAACCAGCCCTAATACTGTGTTGTGTAGTGTACTTACGAATGTTCGAAAAATTTAGTAAAATAATATGGTAAAGAAAAGCTTGGAGCAAATGAATTATTGGACAGAGAAAAACAAGTTCATCCCTGTGGTCTGCAAGAAAGAGTCGGCCGATGACTTGGCGGGACTGAAGAGAGCGGACGACCCTGGATGGAAATTGGAGAGAAACGAGACGTAAAAGGCACTTTCCTTATCCACTCGCCTTCTTCCCCTTTTCCTAATTCGCTTGCAAGTAACATGTTCGCCCACGCGCAACTATAGCCTAAAAACTACTTTTCGTTAAGAATTTCAAATTACATTTTAAAAGCTGAAACACAATAAAGGCAGACGAGCGATGTTACGATTTCAGGTAGTACTGTTCGCAGTTTCTGCAACCTTTGGTTTTAATAATCTTTCCATGCAAGTCTACGCACGTGAAAATCCAAACAAAAATGGCGAGTTTTTGGTAGGTTTTTAGCGAAAAAAAAAAAACAAAAAACAGTGAAATCCGATGAGTGTAGCATTAACCGAAGGTAAGATCTAGAATTTGATGTTTCTTGAGAGTTTTATTTGGCGGTACCCATTGAGAAAATTCGGCTTTATCAATTTCAAAATTTTTGTTTAGTGTTCTCATAGTAATATCGATTTTACTTAAAACTGCATTTTCACAAATTTCAAGCCATAACCAATTACTGGTGCAAATTTTGTAGCGATCGGACAAGGAAAAAATCACTTTGAAGGCGATTGAAAAATATCGGTATGGTCTCTGAAAAACTGTATATCGAAAACACCTTATACCCCTTCCTCTGTCATTAAGCTTAGTATTTGTTGCGCAAAAGTAGGCCACCCAATTATAGGTTATATACTATTTGGATTAGATATTACATTTCTCGGATGTGATAATTAGTGAGGGACAAATAGAACATTTTTCTTTGAGACAAACATGATTCTTTTGTTTTGTTTTGACAAGTAGACATTTTAGCATGCCCGCATACGCCAAGACGGTTCCCGCGCATTCTATTCATGAGTCGTTAATTAATTTTTTGTCCCCCACTTTAGCAGCCCCAAAAAAGGGTATGATTCTGCTAGGAAACCACTACTTGATTGACTTCGCAGAAAAACCCAAACTACAAAGACGTTTATGACATCGCAGGTCGCGTCAGTGTTATCCGAAACAGCTGTAAGACGTTTATTCGTCTCCAGATAAGCAAAATTGCTTCGTGCGGGCCTTTTTGTTGTTAAATTATGTAAGTGAATATAAGATGACGCTGATTAGATGTCTAAGTGTCAAAGATGTAAATGAAGTAAAATAAATTAAATTCCTTAGAAACCAGGGCCCGGTTGCATAAAACGTCCGTAACAACTACGGGTATACGTACGTGCAATCGTAACTTAAGCCAGTTGCATGAAAACACTTAATTGGTCCACTTAGGGAATTCACTGAAGTGGTTGTACTTACGATTTTCGTAAGTGTTCACTTAAGTGTCGCTTATGCAACAGAAATTGCGGGTGTTGCATAAAACTTTTTTTACGGGAAAAATAGCACGTAAATTTACGGGACCTATGTAGGTCCCGTATCGTTACTGTTTTTACTAAATTTAACGAGATCTTTTACTGAGAAGTGAAAAAAAGTATTTTTCTTCACGTAATTCGTCCTAATGCGCTTTATTAACCTGTGATGTACACTTTTGTGAAAAAAGGAAGAAGAAGTATCATTTTCAGTAGATATTGAACAAAAATAACGTTTGCATGCAAATTTCATTTTTTGAGAGGCTTAAAAGTGTTCGAAACGACTTAAAACTTTCTTTACAGTCACCGATGGTTAGCTTAAAAAAAAAGAAGGCGTCATTAATAAACTATAATATCAAGGTTACGTGTGCCTTTAAGTGAGCCCGTAAGTTACCACGTAAAACAGTAACTTACGAGAGTGCTAAGTGTGTTCTATGCAACACCCGTAAGTGTACCCATAACGGATTCGTAAGTGACCTACTTAAGTGGGCACTTAAGTGTAGGTTTTATGCAACCGGGCCCAGGGGCATAACATCCATATACGCACACAGCCACACACACACACCCACCCACAAACACAAACTGCAGTCAAAGAGTATAATAGCTACGTAAGGCCCAGTTCAGACGTCGTGCTTCTGCCGTGCCGAACTTAATTGTAATTCGGTTCGATTGTAGCACGGCAGGAAAACAACTTTGATTCAAACGTCGTGTCAGAGTCGAACCAAATTCAGGATTTACTGATGCGTCGTAACAATTCTCCTCCTAACTCCCCCTGGGAACGCAATCTCGCCAAAATACATTAATGTAATTTATGAATTTTGCTTAGCGCGGCAGAAGCACGACGTTTGAATCGCTGCCGCGCTAGAGCCGTGTAGCACGGCAGCGCTTGTCGAACTTAATTGCTTGCCGAACTTAATTCAAAAGTTTGATTCAGACGCCGTGCTTCTGCCGTGCTTTTGTCGAACTTAATTCCCGAATTTAGTTCGGCACGGCAGAAGCACGACGTCTGAACTGGGCCTAAGATGTTGTATGCGATTATCAACTCTGAAAGTGGATTTGCTTTACTAATAAATATTGTTTTTTTCTTTTTTTTACTTTCTTAGTGAAATTGAAGTGTTTTACATGTTCAAGTTCAACAGATAATTCCTGCCACTATGTAACAGCCATTGCCGATGCAGTTCGTTTGCCAGCATTTAATAGCTCTAAAATGTTCTTTATAGAAATCGGCCTTTGATGCGTATCTTGTATTGTATGAGTGAAGATCACAGGCATAGCGAAAGCGTCGATAAAAAATATCTGGCAATTGCTTTTTACAGCTGAAATCTAGAAAAAATATATATTTTATTCCCTGAAAGCATTTTTATCATTAATGATCGGGATGATTGATATATCTTTCGCATTATATTGGTGTTTTTACCCGTCTGAAGGGTAGACATCTCGTCCTCTGCTTGTAACCTCCTTGATGGCCTCACTATTTTACCTTTTTTCCGTAAACATTGCGCCTTACCGATAAGCAGAGATGTAAATTATCGAACCAATTAATGGATTTTCCTTCGTGTTTATCTAATGAAAAAATGTCCAGCGGAAATTGCAGGAAATGGTATTTCTAGGCCCCTAAATTAAAAAAAAAAAAATTTGGAGGAGCATGCTCCCTTCGGAGGTCCTTGCTTTCTGAACGTACAGTATGTTGCCCAGTATCCGGACACTTCAGTTTAACATTGCAATAACTTTCCTTTGTTGATCGCAAGAGCTCTGAAATTTGGCCCAGAGAAAATCTATTTAGTCCTTAATATGACAAGAGACAGTTTAGCTTTTTGGCCTCTGGTTCCATCGCGAAATTAACATATTTGCAGAGCTCCTATGTTGCCCAGTATCCGGACAGCTGGCCCAGTATCCGGACACAACAATAACAACGTAATTGTACATAAATTTCGACAGGCAAACGACTTAAAAGCTTCTCTTGCACTTGCAAAGTAGTCTCGCAATCGATTCCAAAAATATAACCTTGCATCGTGAAATAAAACATAACAAATGACTGGGTATGGTGGGGAACGCGAGCGGTTGTTTAATAGCATAATTCTTACTTCCTTGTCTAGGAACTTTTTCACTGATCATGTAAGGAAGGCATCCGTGGACATGCCGAAGCCGCGGTTTGCTAGCTCAATTACCCAATCTGCAAACGAATTTTTTTCTTCATTTTTTATTTTAAAAAAAAAGCTTGGCGAAGGGAACTCAATGCGACGGTCAAAGGTCACTCTCCTATTTAGTCTGACCTGCAGTGATGATTTCTTCATGCTCAGTCCCTACAGACCCTACAATAAGCCTGCTTTTCTAGCACTAATTCCTCCTTCTTTCACATCTCTCAAGCCCTTTGTGACATTTTTCAGACCGTTGCAACCCCATTCTAGCAGTCACAACTGGGGAAAGTATGAGAATTCCAGGTTCAACTCCGACGCTTTCGGTTATATATATAAGATGCAGTCACGCGAAACAAGAGGCGTACCCGAAATCAAGTCGCCTCGGAATGAGTGAAGAAAATTTCCGTACGGAGTTGAGTAGAATTCCATTTTACGACTACATCATATATCCTAAGCTTTAATTATAGTTATAGATATGAAATAAATCTTATCCGGATAATGTACACGGCTAATTCATCGATTCTGTACAGCAAAGAAAAAACTGTCTGTCCGGATACTGGGCACCTCCGTTATTCCAAACAAATCGAATTTCAAGGAGAATTAATAAACTTTCTGAGAACCTGACTTCTTTAAGAACCTTCACGTTAAATATAAAACCGTTTCTTTTAAAATATGAGATATTACCAACCCTTTTGTGAGCAGCACTAATTTTACTGCGCAGTAAACAGCGTAAATATTAGCCCTGAAATGTTTATTCACCTGAACAGAACGGCGTCTTCTGCGACTGTTTCGCAAGCTTACAACTTGCCAAAACCTTCATCTTAAAGCCGAAATGTTCAGCTTTCATTCGAAATACTTCGTTTACTGATAACTGAAAAGGGCGCCTCAAAAATTGAGTTTTTGTTTTAAGTGTCCGGATACTGGTACCGTCCGGATACTAGGCAACATACTGAACACCTTCAAAACCTCAAGCTACACCCATGGAAACGTGCAGATGGTCATGCTACTTCTAATAAAAAAAATTAATGCACAAACATGAAGGATAATGAGTCGCAGTGTAAGGAGAGTAGTGATGCAAATAAAGCCTTGCTGTGTGATTGGTCCAATTCAACAATTCTCAACCAAATATTCCAATAATCTCACGTAGAGGGAAGGATTCTTTAGAGGGTGATTGATCGACTATCGACTGATCAACCTAAGTCTTTCAGAGACGTCTTCCCGAACACCTTCTTTTGAAAGAAGCGGAAAATTATACAATGTCCTCATCTACAGCCCAGTGCCACGGTAAGCTGCAAACAAGTCCTCTTTGAAGAACGTCATCGTTTTCTGAGAAGAGCCTCCATCTTCTATTTAAAGGTATTCTTCTAGAAGCATTTCCTTGCGTTGTAAGTAGCACATTTTCCTAAAGGAAGTAAAAAAGAGTATACACAAATGAACATAAACTTTGCATGAGTTAACATCCGAGTTAACGTAGAAAAAGATGTGACCCTCCAGAGGATTTTGATGCTGAAGATGAAAACTCGTTCACGACACGCTTCCACTCTAAAAACAAAAGAAACACGTCGCTTTAGCACGACAGCCAACTTGCCTCATCATCAATTTCTTTTGTTTCAGAGGACACGCTTGAGACAATTAAGCCTGAGCGGAAAATTGCAGGAAATGGTATTTCTAGGCCCCTAAATTTAAAAAAAAAAGTTTTGAAGGAGCATGCTCCCTTCGGAGGTCCTTGCTTTCTGAACGTACAGTAGGTTGCCCAGTATCCGGACACTTCAGTTTAACATTGCAATAACCTTCCTTTGTTGATCGCAAGAGCTCTGAAATTTGGCCCAGAGAAAATCTGGTTAGTCCACTTGCTAAGTAGTCTCGCAATCGATTCCAAAAATATAACCTTGCATCGTGAAATAAATCATAACAAATGACTGGTGTATGGTGGGGAACGCGAGCGGTTGTTTAATAGCATAATTCTTACTTCCTTGTCTAGGAACTTTTTAACTGATCATGTAAGGAAGGCATCCGTGGACATGCCGAAGCCGCGGTTTGCTAGCTCAATTACCCAATCTGCAAACGAATTTTTTTCTTCATTTTTTATTTAAAAAAAAAAGCTTGGCGAAGGGAACTCAATGCGACAGTCAAAGGTCACTCTCCTATTTAGTCTGACCTGCATAGTGTTGATTTCTTCATGTTCAGTCCCTACAGACCCTACAATAAGCCTGCTTTTCTAGCACTAATTCCTCCTTCTTTCACTTCTCTCAAGCCCTTTGTGACATTTTTCAGACCGTTGCAACCCCATTCTAGCAGTCACAACTGGGGAAAGTATGAGAATTCCAGGTTCAACTCCTACGCTTTCGGTTATATATATAAGATGCAGTCACGCGAAACAAGAGGCGTACACGAAATCAAGTCGCCTCGGAATGACTGAAGAAAATTTCCGTGCGGAGTTGAGTAGAATTCCATTTTACAACTATATCATATATCCTAAGCTTTAATTATAGTTATAGATATGAAATAAATCTTATCCGGATAATGTACACGGCTAATTCATCGATTCTGTACAGCAAAGAAAAAACTGTCTGTCCGGATACTGGGCACCTCCGTTATTCCAAACAAATCGAATTTCAAGGAGAATTAAACAACTTTCTGAGAACCTGACTTCTTTAAGTATCTTCACGTTAAATATAAAACCGTTTCTTTAAAAATATGTCATATTACCAACCCTTTTGTGAGCAGCACTAATTTTACTGCGCAGTAAACAGCGTAAATATTAGCCCTGAAATGTTTATTCACCTGAACAGAACGGCGCCTTCTGCGACTGTTTCGCAAGCTTTCAACTTGCCAAAACCTTCATCTTACAGCCGAAATGTTCAGCTTTCATTCGAAATACTTCGTTTACTGATAACTGAAAAGGGCGCCTCAAAAATTGAGTTTTTTTTTTAAGTGTCCGGATACTGGTACCGTCCGGATACTAGGCAACATACTGTACACCTTCAAAACCTCAAGCTACACCCATGGAAACGTGCAATAATGAGTCGCAGTGTAAGGAGAGTAGTGATGCAAATAAAGCCTTGCTGTGTGATTGGTCCAATTCAACAATTCTCAACCAAATATTCCAATAATCTCACGTAGAGGGAAGGATTCTTTAGAGGGTGATTGATCGACTATCGACTGATCAACCTAAGTCTTTCAGAGACGTCTTCCCGAACACCTTCTTTTGAAAGAAGCGGAAAATTATACAATGTCCTCATCTACAGCCCAGTGCCACGGTAAGCTGCAAACAAGTCCTCTTTGAAGAACGTCATCGTTTTCTGAGAAGAGCCTCCATCTTCTATTTAAAGGTATTCTTCTAGAAGCATTTCCTTGCGTTGTAAGTAGCACATTTTCCTAAAGGAAGTAAAAAAGAGCATACACAAATGAACATAAACTTTGCATGAGTTAACATCCGAGGTAACGTCGAAAAAGATGTGACCCTCCAGAGGATTTTGATGCTGAAGATGAAAACTCGTTCACGACACGCTTCCACTTTAAAAACAAAAGAAACCCGTCGCTTTAGCACGACAGCCAACTTGCCTCATCATCAATTTCTTTTGTTTCAGAGGACACGCTTGAGACAATTAAGCCTGAGCGGAAAATTGCAGGAAATGGTATTTCTAGGCCCCTAAATTAAAAAAAAAAAAAAATTTGAAGGAGCATGCTCCCTTCGGAGGTCCTTGCTTTCTGAACGTACAGTATGTTGCCAAGTATCCGGACACTTCAGTTTAACATTGCAATAACTTTCCTTTGTTGATCGCAAGAGCTCTGAAATTTGGCCCCGAGAAATTCTATTTAGTCCACTTGCTAAGTAGTCTCGCAATCGATTCCAAAAATATAACCTTGCATCGTGAAATAAAACGTAACAAATGACTGGGGTATGGTGGGGAACGCGAGCGGTTGTTTAATAGCATAATTCTTACTTCCTTGTCTAGGAACTTTTTCACTGATCATGTAAGGAAGGCATCCGTGGACATGCCGAAGCCGCGGTTTGCTAGCTCAATTACCCAATCTGCAAACGAATTTTTTTCTTCATTTTTTATTTAAAAAAAAAAGCTTGGCGAAGGGAACTCAATGCGACAGTCAATGGTCACTCACCTATTTAGTCTGACCTGCAGCGTTGATTTCTTCATGCTCAGTCCCTACAGACCCTACAATAAGCCTGCTTTTCTAGCACTAATTCCTCCTTCTTTCACATCTCTCAAGCCCTTTGTGACATTTTTCAGACCGTTGCAACCCCATTCTAGCAGTCACAACTGGGGAAAGTATGAGAATTCCAGGTTCAACTCCGACGCTTTCGGTTATATATATAAGATGCAGTCAAACGAAACAAGAGGCGTACACGAAATCAAGTCGCCTCGGAATGAGTGAAGAAAATTTCCGTACGGAGTTGAGTAGAATTCCATTTTACAACTATATCATATATCCTAAGCTTTAATTATAGTTATAGATATGAAATAAATCTTATCCGGATAATGTACACGGCTAATTCATCGATTCTGTACAGCAAAGAAAAAACTGTCTGTCCGGATACTGGGCACCTCCGTTATTCCAAACAAATCGAATTTCAAGAAGAATTAATAAACTTTCTGAGAACCTGATTTCTTTAAGTAACTTCACGTTAAATATAAAACCGTTTCTTTTAAAATATGACATATTACCAACCCTTTTGTGAGCAGCACTAATTTTACTGCGCAGTAAACAGCGTAAATATTAGCCCTGAAATGTTTATTCACCTGAACAGAACGGCGTCTTCTGCGACTGTTTTGCAAGCTTTCAACTTGCCAAAACCTTCATCTTAAAGCCGAAATGTTCAGCTTTCATTCGAAATACTTCGTTTACTGATAACTGAAAAGAGCGCCTCAAAAATTGAGTTTTTGTTTTAAGTGTCCGGATACTTGTACCGTCCGGATACTAGGCAACATACTGTACACTTTCAAAACCTCAAGCTACACCCATGGAAACGTGCAGATGTTCATGCTACTTCTAATAAAAAAATTAATGCACAAACATGAAGGATAATGAGTCGCAGTGTAAGTAGCGTAGTGATGCAGATAAAGCCTTGCTGTGTGATTGGTCCAATTCAACGATTCTCAACCAAATATATTCAAATAATCTCACGTCAGGGGCGGATCCAGGATCTTTTTTAGGAGGGGGTGCACTCGTCTCTTGCTCTACTTCAACACCAATAAACCACATAGTTTTTTTTTTTTTTTTGCAGAATACCTGTTGTATTAGAAAACCGCAGGTCATCTCGGGGGGGGGGTGCGCACCCCCTGCACCCTCCCCTTAGATCCGCCCCTGTCATGTAGAGGGAAGGAGTCTTTAGAGGGTGATTGATCGACTATCGACTGATCAACCTAAGTCTTTCAGAGACGTCTTCCCGAACACCTTCTTTTGAAGGAAGCGGAAAATTATACAATGTCCTCATCTACAGCCCAGTGCCACGGTAAGCTGCAAACAAGTCCTCTTTGAACGACGTCATCTTTTTCTGAGAAGAGCCTCCATCTTCTTTTTAAAGGTATTCTTCTAGAAGCATTTCCTTGCGTTGTAAGTAGCACATTTTCCTGAAGGAAGTAAAAAAGAGTATACACAAATGAACATAAACTTTGCATGAGTTAACATCCGAGTCAACGTCGAAAAAGATGTGACCCTCCAGAGGATTTTGATGCTGAAGGTGAAAACTTGTTCACGACACGCTTCCACTTTAAAAACAAAAGAAACCGACAGCCAACTTGCCTCATCATCAATAAATTTCTTTTGTTTCAGAGGACACGCTTGAGACAATTAAGCCTGAGCGAGTAGAACAAAAGAGCTATTAAAAAGAGCTATTAAAGTTTTTAAACAACAGCTGCGTTGGAAGTAGCACAATCACGCTTTCAGCATGCGCAAAAGCACGCCATGACACTCGGTTATCTAAAGCCACAGTACTGCTCAGAGTCTCGACCCTTGAATTACGATTTGAGTTAAGATTTTTGAAAATTCATCAGTCGAAAGGATTTCGAGAAAACAATTTATTTCTTCGCATGTACAGAAATTCACACCGCCCGTCAGTGCTTTCATGTTCGTGCACCTCTTACACTTTGACGAGTAATTTAAGTTTCACTTTCAGCCGAATTAAAAAAAGGGAATGACTAAGGACAGGTTGCTTATCTGAAATTTTGCCCAATTGTGTCTGTGTAGTTTTGTATGAATGACATCTTGTCAATTATAAAATATGTTTGTTTTTGGTGCATAACTTGCGTCAGGTCGTGTTAATCGCGATGGCGAAGGAGAAATATGATCGTGACGTTTTTTAGTCGGGAATAGTTGTCAAAATGATAATGTTTGCGAGCCCTCCTATAATAAACGCAAAGAATATAACATGGATAAGGCTGAATAGCTTATATAATAAATCTTCAAGCGTACCGTTCAAAACAAAACATAAAACTCTGACTTCGAAATAGTGTTTTGAAAATACAAGTAAATTTGCATACGCAATTTGAAACCTCTTGACTCTTCTACACGCATTGCAACATTTTGTACTAATTATAAACAGGGACTTTTTATAAACCAAAACACGCACAAAAAAAAGCTTGATAACCATAGGTTTCTCTAAGACTATTTCATTGCAGGTCATTTTCCGACGAGATACCGTAAAATTCCGAAAGTAAGTCCCTCCAAATATAATTCCCCAAACCGGTAACGCAAAAAACCCTCCGGAAAATAGCCCCTCCAAATATAAGCCCCTCGGGGGCTTGTACTTGGATAATTGCCCTCAAATACTAAGTAAAACAAAGCATAAACGGTAAACTTACTTCTAACTATAAGGCTAGCCCAATTGATTTTGAAGCGCAAATTTCCCTCAGTAGATAAGCCCCTCCAAAAATAAGCCCCTCAAAAAGGGCCTTTGAAAAATATATGTCCCGGGGCTTACTTTCGGAATTTTACGGTATTTAAACTTGACTGTAGACAAACAGAACAGACTGAACAGACATCTACATCTACATTTATTAACTGACAACGCTTTCGCATCAAGTCAATATAAGACAAGGGCTTGTTTGTTAACCTTTTACCAGCGACCAAACGTTTTTGTTTTCGTTTCAAAAGTGCCGAACAACGCAGGGAAATTGGCTTCGTCACGTGCTAATTCGCTTGTTGTAATTTTGGGCTAAAAGTTTTATCAGTTTACCGAATTATTCTGGTTCACAGAATCAGTGATCTATGGTAATGACTCTATGTATCCATGGAGCAAAGTGTTATGGTATTCGTGTTCCCAAGTATCGACAAGTAATTTCCTGGTTTTACATTGCGCATCACCTAGTGCGCATAACATTGCGACAAAAGGTCGACGGTGGTTTTCACCTGTCGCCTTAAAAGAGGTAACAAAGGCCCCTTTTGAAGTCCAAATGCTTTTAATGGCGATTTTGATAACTCTACCCTGATCAAAGTTGTTTGTCTTAAAACTCGCCACAGTGGCGAAAAATGATTATTTGAAGCCGAAATTGTCCTTTTATAATGTCATTTTGCGCTGAAACGAAAACGATGACCCCCCTTTTTTTATTTGTGCTTTTTACTCACTATGGCTACACAAAAGATATGTTTTAAGCGGAAAAAGAATCTGGATAGTAAAAGTTGTGTTTTTTTTTAGCTATGAATGAAGCCAATTTCTTAGCCGTTAACAAAACCCGGATCGGATTGCTCGGATCGGATCGGACTGATATTCGCCTTAAATTCAAAGTTACACTGAAAGTGATTGCTTGTTGGTTGTTGTACGACTGCGAAGGACTCGGCTAAAGTAGAAAGGAGTGAAAAGGCTTCTTGTGGTGGCATTTGGAGAGGTCATTCGCTTATTGAAAACGCGTGTTCGCTATAGCTATCGTACCTTGCTCATTCCCGTGATTTTCTTAAACGTCTCCTCCGAAAAGAAGTATTCAATTTAGGCTCAGTGAAAAACAAGGCCAATTCAGAAGAGAGTAGAGATGGAAAGAAACAACAAAATCAGCGCAATGAGAGATACTCACATCTCTCCCCGCCATCTTCGATTCGGGCGATGTCACTTGACCAAGCCTCTTTTTGGAAATTGGAAACGTATGACGTTATGCAACATAAAATTTCCCAGTGCAGTTCACATTGAAAATAATTCTTTGCGATGATTTTCAAGCTGCTGGTGAATTTTAAGCCTGGTGATACATGAGAAACGATTTTTTATATTAGTAGGTAAACATTCAATGAGAGAAGACTTATTAATAAATATTTCGTTTCCAAATTACAGGTTGTGGTTTTGTACTTTATTCAACCCATTTTCCTGTGGAGTTAAAGTGAAAACAAGAACGATAAGCTCGATAGCAACATATGAATTAGCTCAACTGATGCTGTTATAGAACTTCAAGGTTTGCGTGTAAACGTCGATCGATCTACCATGCGGAAAGTCTTACTTTCTGTTTTTGGCCTTCTCATCAACATGGTCTGCGTTTCTAGCAGCAGTCATGTTTACGACTCCATTTTCTGGAATCCTCAGAATCCTTTGTAAGTAATGATTTGTAGTGTGTGTTCAAGTAAATATTCTGCGACGATTTATACTGTCTGTCTCATTTATTATAAACCCGACGTGAGTATTGCCCAAGCTCTAATTCATAGGTTTCCTCCAGAACAGAACTAATTCTCAACTCTGTATTAAAGCATGTTTACTTTGATCTTCAACCATTTCAATTTTTCTCAAACGGAAAGTTCATTCCGTGCTCTTGACTTTATCAAGTTTATTGATTCCATATTCCTACAAAAGTGGCTTTTATCAAGCTAAATAAAAGGATATTAGATATTCGACATTTACAAAAGTAGGAGTAACTGACAAGAATAATCCATGTCTAAACCCGTTCACCTTGGGGCAAGCTAAAGCTTACAAAATTGTTTAAAAATCTGTCATGAAGTGATGTCTCAAACTTTAACAGAGAAGGGCGTGCACCCAAAATTAATAGAGATCCTGCGGTATTTTATTAACCTCAATCCCCCGGCTTTAATAGATTTTTGCCAATCAAACTGTAGGTTAAGTGAAATTTAACCTGAAATCAAATCTGACCTGTAACATAACTGCTGCTGCGACTAATATGCAGATATTTTGAGATGTGCGGTTATGATCTTGTGAAGAATCCAGTCTGAGTACAAAAAAAAACTCTAACTTGTCAAATAATACAGCTATAAACAGGTTTTGCCTTAAAAGCCTACATTATTTAACAGGAGCTGAAACAGAGCTAGAGCTTGTCCTTAGTAGTCTACTATGTTGAAACTTAACCGTTTTGGTGGATAGGTAAGGATGGTTTAGGGATAGTCTATGACGTCACCCATTGTTATAACCTAGAGAAAAAGTGCCTTCCTCCACACTAATTAAGTGCCTTCCTACATATACTGTAGAATGAAGTGGATAGGTTTACTAATGAGCGTCTCTCTACTACAATAGGCACAATAGGCTTGTTCTGGCTTGTCCGTTAAGTAGCTTGAGCCCAGATTTCAGACCGTCTATTAAAAGGAAAATAGGAATAAAAGAAGCGATCTCCTAGCAACGCAAGAAACGGCTTCCTATATCTTATTTAGCGCTAAAACTAAGATATATAAACAAAACACATACAGAAAGTGATTTTGAACAGTCTTTATTTCAATTTAGTTTACGTCGTCTTATTTAGCGCTAAAACTCGGATATATAAACAAAACACACGCACATATACACAAAGTGGAGCTGAAAACTCTCTATTTCAATTTTGTCTGACTATTACAGAACCGTTATCTCCTTTCTATCTCGAGTCTCAGCGTTTCACGCGCCGTTAGTCAGGTAATTATGCGAGTCCACAAGCCCACCGTTGCATACAAACTAGCTCTGCAGTAAAAAACCCAAGGGAGCATCTTGACGTATTATTATAAAAGCACACCCCTAAAAAGCAATTAATAACTTAACAAGGATCAACTGAAACACGCGACTAATAATTGCTGGCAATAAAACCAGACACGTTTCTTAAGACAAGAAATCAACTTTATGACCCTTAATTAAAATAATTTCAAAAAGATGTAATTAATATATTAAAGATTCTATTAAAATAGTCAAAGAAGGCAAGCCATCCTTTTACTTACCCCTCTCCCTTTTCGTTTTTATTTCCCTCCTCCTCCTCCACAATTTTATTATTTTCCCTCCTCAATCTTGTTTTCTCTCCACCACCACCACCGCCACATTTCTATTGTTTTCCGAGTTTCCCTCCACCGCTACCACCACCGCCACATACTGCAGCGATACTGCGATACCGTACCGTATTGCAGATTATTAGTAATACATCTACATGTTAACACAGATTTTTCACTTCAATATTTTCATAGATTCAGAGACAAGAGCCAAAGTTGTAGCACAGGATACATGACTCTTAAAGTCCGACTGCAATCTAAAGTCTTCTTCATATGTCCAAACACAGCCACTGTGTTAGAAAAAAGTTTAACAGCACCTCAATCTGCAACCATGTATGAAAACCTTTGGATTGCTTATGACAGAAGTGTGTTTGACCAATGTAATACATCATTAAGCAATACTAGCAAACTTTTATTCAGTTGCAATGATCCAACAGCATTGAAATATTTTCCTGTGGTATTTGCCGAATTTACAGCAGACCCAAATTCGCTGAAGTTTAAAGATGGAAAGAAGTATTATTTTATTGGTAAGTGATAGAAAGACAATATTACAGGACTGAGGGACCCAAATTATGGGCTGAAGTTTGTAGGGGGGAAGAAGTGTTATTTTAGTGGTAAGTGATGAAGAGTCTCAGTTACCTTAAGGTTTCCATAGTGGTGACTCCCTGAGAGTTAAACGAACCAAGTTCTGTTTCTCTATATCACATAAAAAATTAACGTATGATCAGTGATGTTGAGTTTTATGTACTCATCAGGTAAAATTTTGATGCCCAGTCCAACATCATTTGAGCCCCAGTCCAAACACCCATGATTTTACTGTAGTATTTGTTTGAAAATTCTTGTTATTATTAGTTACTTCTGGGCCTCGTTTATATAAGATTGCTCTCTTGACTAACTTACTAACTAGGTTTTATTACGCTACATGTATATTACATAATAGGATATTCTTCAAAATCATCTCCATGTTAAGTCAGCAATTGTTTTATATGTTTCGTCATTGTTTGTCTGTTGTAGGGACATCTGATGGCACACAGGCACACCTCAATGACCTTAGTGGAGGTCACTGCAATGACACAAAAAACGGAATATTTATGAAAAGTGAAGTCTATGTCTGCAAAAAAAGTAATCTAACTTATACAGGTAATGTTCAATTACTACAGTGTAATTAAAAGAAGTGTTGAAGTACAGAGTACACATACTGTACACGTACATGCCATGTTAACTACATGTAAAAAGCTTTGAAGAAAAAACGTCAAGGTGAAGTTGATGCCCCAGTAACTGCTTTTGAAGGTAGTTGAGCTGTTTTGTGGTCACAGTCTGGCTATAGACTGCCAAAACGTCCCATAATGCCATTTAAAGTTTGTGCACTTTGAGGCTTTTGTTACAGATTTAAAATATCATCCTCTGAAGGTTGGGCATGCGTAGAAAACAAAATTTTGGAAGAGCTTTTGTGTTTAAAAGTGACACAGCAGTCTCGACTTTTACCTTTTGCTTTCTCTCCTTCCCTCTTCTTTCCGCTTCTTTGCCCAGTTTCTTGTTATTTGCTGGGCATTAACTAGGCTTTCTCATTCTGGTGGAACACTTCTATGGAAAAGCTTTTAGGATTATAGGATTTGGTGGAAGGAAGTGCGGGTGGGTAGTGGAACAAGATTTTTGTTAGAGTTTTTGGGTCAAATTTTCATGGTGTTTGAACTTTTCTCCGGTTTTCTTGATTGAATTGTTCTCATTCCGGCATGGTCTGAAGGATCTTTTTCTCCGTCGTGCACAAAAAAGGAGACAAAGTTGCCCTCGACCATTAAGACTGATGGTATAAAAAGTGGTACAACCCTCGTTGGTCTGCACGGACGGTTGCATGCGGTTGAGGGGCGAATGGGTTAAGAAAGTTGTCCGGAGGGTCATGAGTTTTTTTCCGATGTTAGTAATCTATGTTATTGAGAGTCAAGTAAAGGGACGATAAAAAGGCAGGGACCAACTCTAGGTGTCTGTATTTTATTGAGGTGTCCATCTTAAAAAGTGTCCGTTAATTCTTTAAAACAACTTTTCCAGATGAAGACTGTCCAGAAGAAGATGTGGGCGTCCTGAAATGTCGTGATCCAACTCAAACAAATCCAACAACAACAACTTCGCCACAGTCTACTCTGCAAAGGTGTGATGACCACATGGAGACAGGTATGAAAATCAGCAAGTGTTATTATAGCAGTTTGTTGATTCTTATTTTCACAGACTTTTTTACTTTTGTATAAATAACGATCCCAGTCGCCGTGTGTGTTTTTGAGCATTATTTCCGTACAGTTCTATAAATTGGTGTCTAACAGTTTCTTGGTTGTTTAAAAGAACGTTTTCCTTTTGAAGCCCTCGTACAAGTTGCTTTTTTCAATGTTTAAAAGCCTGGTGCATCAACAACCAAAATTTTCTTTGTACATACATGTAACACTTCCATGTGAACTGCATAAGTCTTCATAATTATCATAACTACTGCACAGGTTGTCGAAACGTAAGTCCCTGCCAACAACAACAGTCCTTTTCAGGACTACTGCACGTTCACCCGGACGATCATACTCAATCTACTTATGAAATGATTCCTGGGCTTAAACCTTCACAGTATGTTATATCTTGCAGATATTTTCCAAAAAGCAGTCAACATGCCTCAGATGGCTTCTTGTTATCTTAACGTAGTAATTTACCTACTTTATTTTTCGTCGTCGCCAGCCTTCTTAAAATGTCCAACTATTTTCTCAACCTTTGCACAACAAAAACAGCTATGCTGGTGGCTTTGTTTGACGTCGTGCCTCCAATAATTTTTTTACTTAACGGACGATCATGGCGTTGGACTCGTGTTCGGACGGTCCCGGCTCCGAGTCCCGCTCTGGCCACCAGCTGGATTTGTTCTCAGTTTTCCCGAGTTCAAATGTTCGGCAGATCTTCGGCCACGCGTAATTTGTAAATAGCCAACTGGTTTCACAAACAGCCATTATTTTGAATGAATAATATCAGGGATGATGACACCCACAAGTTTTACAGTTCTTAACTATTCAAAATTGTTTTCCACCAACAGAGTTAAAATATTGGAGGACTTGCGGAATTGTCGCCCTGGTTTTGCTTTTTATATGTTTCCTGGTGATTATAGCTCTAATCATCCGTCCCGTCTCGTGCAGGTAGGTTCTTATTCACGTTCATCTTGTTTCAAAACTACATTCTCAAACTCATTAATAATTCATAAAAAAATACAAAAGAAATAAATTTTTAATGAGCGTTTGGAAATCAGATGAAAAACTGGTCATTTTTGCATCCTTAATTTCTCCTTCTAAAATCATTTTGTTTGAGAATATCATAATATCAAGCATTCGACAAAGTAAATCATCACCTAATGAACAATATCATCTGTCACCTGAAGAGTCAATTTGGTCGGAATGGGATACCTAATGAGCTTATCAGTGATAATGGGCCTCAATATGCAAGTTCCGCATTTAATGATTTCACCAAGAGCTATGGTTTTGTCCATACCACATCAAGTCCTCACTTCCCTCAAGCAAATGGTGAAGCTGAAAGGGCAGTTCAGACCATCAAGAATCTCCTCAAGAAAGCACAAGATCCTCACAAGGCATTGCTGAACTATAGAAACACTCCTTTGGATAGTATAAACCTTTCACCTGCTCAGCTGCTCATGGGTCGAAGATTGAAATCTCCCCTACCAACAAAGGTTGAATTGCTTAAACCCCAAAGATCACAAGAAATTCAGCAGCACTTTCAAAAAAGAAAGAAGAGAGTGAAGTTCTATTATGACCAACAGAGTGAGAAAGAGTTACCCCCCCTTAACTCCAGGTGACAAGGTGTCTATGCATCATGAGAATGAATGGATCCAAGCTATAGTCGTAAACAAGCATCACACACCAAGGTCGTACATCGTTCAGACAGCTAATGATAAGTTCTACCGAAGAAATCGACGTCATCTTCGCATGAGAGTTTCACAAGCAAAGAACAAAGAGACTGATGCAACACAGATCGCAAAACCTCAGAAATCCACTCTTCCTACTCCAACTGATATCCAAAGCAGACCTTGTAGAGCAGGAGCAACTACAGATCATGGTCCACCAGCAGAAATTCGTACCCGGTCAGGTCGGGTGGTTAAGCAACCCAAATACCTGAAAGACTATAAACTGTGAACTTTTATGAACTGTTAAGTTTAAGATGTTGACAATGAATTCATTTGCTTTCTATGATTAAGCTTTCTTTTTATTTTTTGCATGCAGTTGTTTACAGCTTGTCACAGTAGTTTCTTTGTTGATTGTAAAAAAAAAATGGGAGATGTCATGTATGCTATCACGAAGGTACGATAAGCATCATGGGATGTAATAAAACCACAAGGTTTGATTCAATATGGCTGTCGTGTGATACAGTACATAACAATACGCTGATGATTCGACAATTATTGCCCCAGTATAGAAGAAGGTAGACTACTCCGATCTGTTAGAGTCACAGTTTTTAGATTGGACGAATACAAATGGAATGTCTTGCAATCCAAGCAAATGTAAAGAGTTGACGATCAAAAAGAGAGGCAACTGCGATCTCTTTTGAGCTATTGGGATGATACCAAGCTGTCAAGAAGTAGATTCCTTAGAACGCTGCGCAAAGAGAGGTACAATCAGTCAGAAACAGACCTTCTCTTTAATACAATAGTTCTACCTAATATTAATTACGCATTATCTGTCTACGCCGCTTCTGAAGTCGATCTTACACCTGTACAATGTTTCTTAGACCGCTGTTTTAAAAATAAATATACGTCTAAGCATGTATTAAGTGTTTATGATTTCTTACAGAGACAAGACTGTAATATTTTCAGCAAAGTTTCTAATGCTAAAGGACATCAACTTTTATTTATTATGCCTCGTGTTAAGCCGTCCAGTTACAATCTTAGGAAAGAAACTTGCTTTAAACCTAAGATTAACACTAGGCGTTTTAAAAACTCTTAACCGTTTAGTTTTAAAGTATGAATATTAATTAGCTATGTAATATTCTAGATTTTTTAATTTTTAGTTTTTACCTTTTTAAAATTTCTTACACTTAATGGTAACAAAATATATGTATTTTTATCTTTGATAAATAAAGACTTTATTATCATTTTATTATTATTATTATTATTATTATTATTACAACCTACTACTTAAAAGTATAAAGAATTTCATTCGTTTTAAACTAGTACTTACCTAAACATGCAGACTTACGGTGTCTTGACAAAAGAAAAAAAGCTTTACGCCCCTTTTATTTTTGGCATGAGCCATTTCTTCCTAAGCATCTACTTAACATAAGAGGCGAGCTAAGAGTCTTATACTTGCACTTTTTGCATTTGAAAACGCTAGCTAAAACCACGCAATGACTACATTTTAATTTCGTACCAAAGACGAGACCAGACTAAAGTGATTATTAGCCATTACAACTTGCTGGTCAAGAACTACAATAAAAACATTCAATCTAAACTAGTAATTGCCTGAAAATGCTACGTGATTCTTTTGTTTTGTTTTGACAAGTAGACATTTAGCATGCCCGCATATTAAAAATCAAGACGTTTTCCGTGCATTTTATTCATGAGTCATTAATTAATTTTTTTGCTCCCCACTTTAGCAGCCCCAGAAAAGGGTATGATTCTGCTGGGACACCACTACTTGATTGACGTCGCAGAAAAACCCAAACTCCAAAGACGTTTATGATATCCGAAACAGCTGTAAGCCATTTATTCGTCTGTAGATAAGCAAAATTGCTTGCTTCGTGCGGGCCTTTTTGTTGTTAAATTATGTAAGTAAAGATAAGATGACGCTGATTAGATGTCTGAGTGTCAAAGCTGTAAATGAAGCAAAGTCATTCGAACAGGATTTTTTTCAAAATAAGTTAAATTCCTTAGAAACCAGGGGTATAGCATCCAAATACGTACACACACAAACTGCAGCCAAAGAGTATAATAACTACGTAAGATGTTGTATGCGATTATTAACTCTGACAGTGGATTTGCTTTACTAATAAATATTGTTTTACTTTCTTACGAAAATTGAAGTGTTTTACATGTTCAAGTTGAACAGATAATTCCTGCCACTATTTAACAGCCATGGTCGATGCAGTTCGTTTGCCAGCATTTAATAGCCATAATTAAATGTTCTTTATAGCAATTGGCCTTTGAAGCGTATTTTGTATTGTATGAATGAACATCACAGGCATAGCGAAAGTGCTGATCAAAAATATCTGGCAATTGCTTTTTACTGCTGAAATCTAGAAAAAAATATATTTTATTCCCTGAAATGATTTTTATCTTTAATGATCGGGATGATTGATAAATCTTGCGCATCATATTGGTGTTTTTACCCCTCTGAAGGGTAGACATCTCGTCCTCTGCTTGTAACCTCCTGGATGGCGTCACTGTTTTACATTTTTTCCGTAACATTTCTCCTTACCGATAACAGCAGAGATGTAAATTAAAGAACTAATTAATGCATTTTCCTTCGTATTTATTTAATGAAAAAATTTCCTGCGGAAATTGCAGGAAATGGTATTTGTGAGCCCCTAAATTAAAAAAAAAATAACAATTTTGAAGGAGCATGCCCCCTTCGGAGGTCCAACCTTTCTTTCCTAGCGTACGCCTTTAAAACCTCAAGCTACGCCCATGGAAACGTGCAGATGTTCATGCTACTTCTAATGAAAAAATAAATGTACAAATATGAAGGATAAACAGTCGCAGTGTAAGTAGAGTAGTGATGCAAATAAAACCTTGCCGTGTGATTGGTCCAATTCAACAATTCTCAACCAAATATTCAAATAATTTCACGTAGAGGGAAGGATTCTTTAGAGGGTGATTGATCGAATATCGACTGATCAACCTAAGTCTTTCAGAGAGGCCTTCAATAACACCTTCTTTTGAAAGAAGCGGAAGATTATACAATGTCCCCATCTACAGCCCAGTGCCATGGTAAGCTGCAAACAAGTCCTCTTTGAATGACGTCATCTTTTTCTGGGAAAAGCCTCCATCTTCTTTTTAAAGGTATTCTTCTAGACGTATTTCCTTGCGTTGTAAGTAGCACATTATCCTATAGGAAGTAAAAAAGAGCATACACACATGAACATAAACTTTGTAGGAGTTAACATCCCCACTGTCGAAAAAAATGTGACCCTCCAGAGTTTTTTGATGCTGAAGGCGAAAGCTCGTTCACGACACGCTTCCCCTTTGAAAACAAAAGAAACACGTCGCTTTAGCACGCCAGCCAACTTGCCTCATTATCAGTTTCTTTTGTTTCAGAGGACACGCTTAAGGCAATTAAGCGTGAGCAAGTAGAACAAAAGAGCCTATTAAAGTTTTTAAACAACAGCTGCGTTCGAAGTAGTGAAGTAGCACAATCACGCTTTCAGCATGCGCAAAAGCACGCCATGTCGTTTATCTAAAGCAGTACTGCTCAAGAGTCTCGACTCTTGAATTACGATTTGAGTTAAGATTTTTGAAAATTCATCAGTCGAAAGGATTTCGAGAAAACAATTTATTTCTTCGCATGTACAGAAATTCACACCGCTCGTCAGTGCTTTCATGTTCGTGCACCTCTCATCTTACACTTTGACGAGTAAAAGTTTCACTTTTAGCCGAACTAAAAAAAAGGGAATGACTAAGGACAGGTTGCTTATCCGAAATTTTGCCCAATTGTGTATGTGTAGTTTTGTATGAATGACATCTTGTCAATTATAAAATATGTTTGTTTTTGGTGCATAACTTGCACTATTTACAATTTGAAACCTATTGACTCTTCTACACGCATTGCAACATTTTACTAATTATAAACAGGGACTTTCTATAAACCAAAACACGCAGAAAAAAAAGCATGATAACCTCAGGTTTCTCCAAGACTATTTCATCGCAGGTCATTTTCCCACGAGATACCGTAAAATTCCGAAAGTAAGCCCTCCATGTATAAGCCCCTCCAAATATAAGCCTCCTAAACCGGTAACGCAAAAAACGCGAAGTTAAATCGCCCCTCCAAATATAAGCCCCCGTGGGCTTGTACTTGGATAATTGTCCTCAAATACAAAGTAAAACAAAGCAAAAACGGTAAGTTTACTTCCAACTATAAGGCTAGCCCAACTGATTTTGAAACACAAGATTCCCTCCGTAGGTAAGCCCCTCCGAATATAAGCCCCTCCAAAAACAAGCCCCTCAAAAAAGGCCTTTGAAAAATATATCTCCCGGGGCTTATTTTCAGAATTTTATGGTATTTAAACTTGACTGTTCGCGGGAGTCAAACAGAACAGACTGAACAGACATCTACATCTACATTTATTAATTGTCAATGCTTTCGCGTCAAGTCAATATAAGACAAGGGCTTGTTTGTTAACCTTTTACCAGCGACCAAACGTTTTTGTTTTCGTTACAAAAGTGCCGAACAACGCAGGGAAATTGGCTTCGTCACGTGCTAATTCGCTACTTGTAATTTCGGGCGAAAAGTTATATCAGTTTACCGAATTATTCTACAACAGTAGCTCACAGAATCAGTGATCTATGGTAATGGCTCTATGTATCCATGGAGCAAAGTGTTATGGTATTTGTGTTCCCAAGTAATTCCCTGGTTTTACATTGCGCATCACCTAGTGCGCATAACAATGCGACTTAAATGGTCGACGGTGGTTTTCACCTGTCGCCTTAAAAGAGGTAAAAAAGCCCCTTTTGAAGTCCAAATGCTTTTAATGGCGATTTTGATAACTCTACCCTGCTCAAAAGTGTTTGTCTTAAAACTCGCCACAGTGGCGCAAAATGATTATTTGAAGCCGAAATTGTCCCTCTATTGTCATTTTGCGCTGAAACGAAAACGATGAGCCCCCTTTTTTATTTGTGCTTTGTACTCGCTATGCCTACACAAAAGATGTATTTTAAGGGGTAAAAGAATCTGGATAATAGGAGTTGTGTTTTTTTTAGATATGAATGACGCCAATTTCTGGGCCGTTAACAAAACTCGGATAGGATTGCTCGGATCGGATCGGACTGGCAATTCGCCTTATAAACTCAAAGTTACACTGAAAGTGATTGCTTGATGGTTGTTGTACGACTGCGAAGGACTCGGCTAAAGTAGAAAGGAGTAAAAAGACTTCTTGTTGTGGCATTTGGAGAGGTCATTCGCCTATTGAAGACAGGTGGTCGCTATAGCTATCGTACCTTGCTCATTCCCGCGATTTTCTTAAACGTCTCCTCTGAAAAGAAGCATTCAATTTAGACTCAGTGAAAAACAAGACCAATTCAGAAGAGAGTAGAGATGGAAAGAAACACAAAATCAGCGCAATGAGAGATACTTAAATCTCTCCCCGCCATCTTCGATTTGGGCGATGTCACGTGACCAAGTCTCTTTTTGGAAATTGTAATCGTATGAAGTTATGCAACAGAAAATTTCCCAGTGCAGTTCAGTTGAAAATAATTCTTTGCGATGATTTTCAAGCTGCTGGTGAATTACAAGCCTGGTGATACATGAGAAATGATTTTTTATATTAGTAGGTAAACATTCAATGAGAGAGAACTTAAATATTTCGTTTCCAATTACAGGTTTTGCACTTTTTCAACCCATTTTCCTGTTGAGTTAAAGTAAAAACAAGAACGATAAGCTCGATAGCAACATATGAATTAGCTTAACTGATGCTGTCGTAGAACTTCAAGGTTTGCGTGGAAACGTCGATCGATCTACCATGCGGAAAGTCTTACTATCTGTTTTTGGCCTCCTCATCAACATGGTCTGCGTTTCTAGCAACATTATTTACGACTCCATTTTCTGGGATCCTCAGAATCATTTGTAAGTAGAGATTTGTAGTGTGTATTCAAGTAAATATGCTGCGACGGTTTATACTGTCTGTCTCATTTATTATAAACCCGACGTGAGTATTGCCCAAGCTCTAATTCATAGGTTTCCTCCCGAACAGAACCAATTCTCAACTCTGTATTAAAGCATGTTTCCTTTGATCTTCAATCATTTTAATTTTTCTCGAACGGAAAGTTCATTCCGTGCTCAGGTTTCAAGCTTATTGATTCCATAAGTTCCTACAAAAGTGCCTTTTATCAAGCTAAATAAAAGGATATTAGATATTCGATATTTAAAAAAATAGGAGTAACTGACAGGAATAATCCATGTCTAAACCCGGTCAATTTGAGGCAAGCTAAAGCTTACAAAATTCTTTCAAAATCTGTCATGAAGTGATGTCTCGAACTTTAACAGCGAAGGTTGTGCACCCAAATTTAATAGAGATCCTGCGATATTTTATTAACCTCAATCTTCAATAGATTTTTTTCCAATCAACCTAGGTTAAATCAAATTTAACCTGAAATCAAATCTGACTAGTAACATATATAACAAATTTTTATGGAAGCTGCTGCGACTTATGTGCAGATATATTGAGATGTGCGTTTGTAATCCTGTAAAGAATCCAGTCTGACGGCAAAAAAAAGAGCTCCTGTAAAATAATACAGCTGTAAACAGGTTTTGCCTTAAAAGCCTACAGGAGCAAAAAAGCATTATTGCATTATTTAACAGGAGCTGAAACAGAGCTAGAGCTTGTCCTGAGTAGTCTACTATGTTGAAACTTAACCGTTTTGGTGGATAGGGAAGGATGGTTTAGGGATAATCTATGACGTCACCCATTGTTATAACCTAGAGAAAAAGTGTCTTCCTCCACACTAATTAAGTGCCTTCCTACATATACTGTAGAATGAAGTGGATAGGTTTACTAATGAGCGTCTCTCTACTACAATAGGCACAATAGGCTTGTTCTGGCTTGTCCGTTAAGTAGCTTGAGCCCAGATTTCAGACCGTCTATTAAAAGGAAAATGGGAATAAGGGAAGCGATCTCCTAACAACGCGAGGAACGGCTTTCTATATCTTATTTAGCGCTAAAACTAAGATATATAAACAAACCACATGCAGAAAGTGAAGTTGAAAAGTCTTTATTTCAATTTAGTTTACGTCGTCTTATTTAGCGCTGAAACTCGTATATATAAACAAAACACACGCACAAATACACAAAGTGGAGCTGAAAATCTTCTATTTCAATTTTGTCTGACTATTACAGAACCGTTATCGCCCATCTGTCTCGAGGAAATGAAATGTTTCACGGGCCGTTAGTCAGGTAAATTATGCGAGTCCACAAGCCCACCGTTGCATACAAATTAGCTCTGCAGTAAAAAACCCAAGGGAGCATCTTGACGTATAATAATAAAAACACACCCCCCCAAAACAATTAATAAGTTAACAAGGATCAATTGAAACACGCGACTAATAATTGCTAGCAATAAAACCAGACACGTTTCTTAAGACAAGAAATCAACTTTATGACCCTTAATTAAAATAATTTCAAAAAGATTTAATTAATATATTAAAGATTCTATTAAAATAGTCAAAGAAGGCAAGCCATCCTTTTTTTTACACTGCGCACAATGTTTTACTTACCCCTCTCCCTTTTCGTTTTTATTTCCCTCCTCCTCCTCCACAATTTTATTATTTTCCCTCCTCAATCTTGTTTTCCCTCCACCACCACCACCGCCACATTTCTATTGTTTTCCGAGTTTTCCTCCACCACCACCACCACCACCGCCACATACTGCAGCGATACTGCGATACCGTTCCGTATTGCAGATTATTAGTAATACATCTACATGTTAACACAAAACTGATTTTTCACTTCAATATTTCCATAGATTCAGAAAGAAGAGCCAAAGTTGTAGCACAGGATACATGACTCTTAAAGTTCGACTGCAATCTAAAGTCTTCTTCATATGTCCAAACACAGCCACTGTGTTACAAAAAACTTTAACAGCACCTCAATCTGCAACCATGTATGAAAACCTTTGGATTGCTTATGACAGAAGTGTGTTTGACCAATGTAATACATCATTAAGCAATACTAGCAAACTTTTATTCAGTTGCAATGATCCAACAGCATTGAAATATTTTCCTGTGGTATTTGCCGAATTTACAGCAGACCTACAGTCGCTGAAGTTTAAAGGTGGAAAGAAGTATTATTTTATTGGTAAGTAATAGCAAGTCAATTTTACAGGACTGAGGGACCCAAATTATGGGCTGAAGTTTGGAGGGGGGAAGAAGTGTTATTTTAGTGGTAAGTGATGAGGAGTCGCATTTACCTTAAAGTTTCCACAGTGGTGACTCCCTGAGAGTTAAACGAACCAAGTTCTGTTTCTCTATATCACATAAAAAATTAATGCATGATGTTGAGTTTTATGTACTTATCATGTAAAATTTTGATGCCCAGTCCAAAATCATTTGAGTCCCAGTCCACTCACCAATGATTTTACTGTAGTATTTGTGTGAAAATTCTTCTTATTATTAGTTACTTCTGGGCCTCTTTTTCTGTAAGATTGCTCTCTTGAGGTTTCATTACGCTACATGTATATTACATAAAAGGATATTCTTCAAAATCATCTCCATGTCAAGTCAACAATTGTTTTGTATGTTTCTTTATTGTTTATCTATTGTAGGGACATCGGATGGCACACAGACACACCTCACTGACCTTAGTGGAGGTCACTGCAATGACACAAAAAACGGAATATTTATGAAAATTGAAGTCTATGTCTGCAAAAAAAGTAATCTAACTTATACAGGTAATGTTCAATTACTACATTGTAATTAAAAGAAGTGTTGAAGTACAGTGTACACATACTGTACACGTACATGCCATGTTAACCACATGTAAAAAGCTTTGAAGAAAAAACTTCAAGGTGAAGTTGATGCCACAGTAACTGCTTTTAAAGCTAGTTGAGCTGTTTTGTGGTCACAGTCTGGCTTTAGACTGCCAAAATGTCCCATAATGCCATTTAAAGTTTGCGCACTTTGCAGCCTTCTGTTACAGATTTAAAATATCAGCCTCTGAAGTTTGGGCATGTGTAGACAGCAAAATTTTGGAAGAGTTTTTGTGTTTAAAAGTGACACAGCAGTCTCGACTTTTACCTTTTGCTTTCTCGCCTTCCCTCTTCTTTCCGCTTCTTTGCCCGTTTTCTTGTTATTTGCTGGGCATTTACTAGGCTTTCTCATTCTGGTGGAACACTTCTATGGAAAAGCTTTTAGGAAAATAGGATTTGGTGGAAGGAAGTGCGGGTGGGTAACGGAACAAGATTTTTGTTAGAATTTTTGGGTCAACTTTTCATGGTGTTTGAACTTTTCTGCGGTCTTCTTGATTAAATTGTGCTCATTCTGGCATGGTCTGAAGGATCTTTTCCTCCTGCACAAATAAGAAGACAAAGTTTTCCTCGACCGCGGTGCAACCCTCGTTGGTCTGCACGGACGGTTATACATGCGTTTGAGGGGCGAATGGGCTAAGAAGGTTGTCCGGAGGGTAATGGGTTTTTTTCCGATGTTAGTAATCTATCTTACTGAGAGTCAAGTAAAGGGACGAAAAAAAGGCAGGGACCAACTCTAGGTGTCTGTTTTATTGGTGTGTCCATCTTAAGAAGCGTCCGTTAAGAGAGAGTCGACTGTAAATAAATTCTTTAAAACAATTTTTCCAGATGAAGACTGTCCAGAAGAAGATGTGGGTGTCCTGAAATGTCGTGATAATCCAACTCCAACAACATCCCTTCCTACAACAGTTCTGCCAACAACAACAACTTCATCATCACCATCATTCATGTCATCAGCAATACCACCAACCAGAATCACTACTCAGGCACCTTTTACACAAGCTGCATACACATCTACAGCCAGTACAGTGGAAGTTAGCAGCTTAAGTGAACAAAATTCAGTCACAGAATCGACAAACACAACATCTACAGAGCTAGCCAGCAATTGTCAGCCACAGTCTGCTCTGCAAAGGGGTGATGACCGCATGGAGACAGGTATGAAAATCAACAAGTGTTGTTATAGTAGTTTGTTGATTCTTATTTTCACAGACTTTTTTACTTTTGTATAAATAACGATCCCAGTCGCCATGTGTGTTTTTGAGCATTATTTCTGTACAGTTCTATAAATTGGTGTCTAACAGTTTCTTGGTTGTTTAAAAGAACGTTTTCCTTTTGAAGCCCTCGTACAAGTTGTTTTAGCCTCGTACATCTACAACCAAAATTTTCTTTGTACATACATGTAACACTTCCATGTGAACTACATAAGTCTTCATAATTATCACAACTACTGCACAGGTTGTCGAAACGTAAGTCCCTGCCAACATCAACAGTCCTACTCAGGACTACTGTACGTCCACCCGGACGATCATTCTCAACCTACTTATGAAATGACTCCTGGGTTCAAACCTCTCACAGTATGTTATATCTTGCAGATATTTTCCAAAAAGCAGTCAACATGCCTCAGATGGCTTCTTGTTATCTTAACGTAGTAATTTACCTACTTTATTTTTCATCGTCGCCAGCCTTCTTAAAATGTTCAACTATTTTCTCAAGCTTTTCACAACAAAAACAGCTGTGCTGGCGGCTTTGTTTGCCGTCGTTCCTCCAATAATTTTTTTACTTAACGGACGATCATGGCGTTGGACTCGTATTCGGACGGTCCCGGCTCCGAGTCCCGCTCTGGCCACCAGCTGGATTTGTTCTCGGTTTTCCCGAGTTCAAATTTTCGGCAGATCTTCGGCCACGCGTAATTTGTAAAAAGCCAACTTGTTTCACAAACAGCCATTATCTTGAATGAATAATATCAGGGATGATGACACCCACAGGCTTACAGTTCATAATAACTATTCAAAATTGTTTTTCACCAACAGAGTTAAAATATTGGAGGACTTGCGGAATTGTCGCCCTGGTTTTGCTTTTTATATGTTTCCTGGTGATTATAGCTCTAATCATCCGTCCCGTCTCGTGCAGGTAGGTTCTTATTCACGTTCACCTTGTTTCAAAACTACATTCTCAAACTCATTAATAATTCATAAAGAAAATACAAAAGAAATAAATGTTTAATGAGCGTTTAAAAATCAGATGAAAAACTGGTCATTTTTGCATCCTCAATTTCTCCTTCTAAAATCAGTTTGTTTGAGAAGTAATATCAAGCATTCGACAGAGTGTTTCATCACCTGATGAACCACTTCGAAGTTCGTCTTGAATACTCCGCTGTGCGTCGTACTTTCAACTCTCTTCTCGGTGTTTCATCTGATATTTTCATCTTGATATTATTACTTAACTGGCTTGCAGTTTGTATATAAGCGGCGTGATAGCGAGTGACCCCTAAACTAAACTGCAGACAACCCCTTTTAGTCGGTCAAAAGTAAAGTAAAGTAAAACTTTATTTCAACAGGCTGGCCCAATCACCTCAAAGCGATGGTCTCCATGGGTGCCCTGCGCCGGAGTAGGAGTCAGAATTGTGAGCGGAGTCGTAAGAGCGCCTATGGTCTTGTGAAAATAGAAAATCGGAGTCATTAAGCGCGGTTATAAGCGCGACGGAATCGGAGCCGGAAGAATCGGAAAGTTTCCATTTCCTTCCGACTCCGCTTACGATCCCGTCGTTTATTTAGTGAATACCAGATTGTCGGAGTCGGAAGCAGAAGCAGAAGGATAAACTAATCACAAACACGTTTTCACGTTTTGTGAGTGGCTTAGGTCTTCTGCTTCTGAGAACCAGCCTTAATACTGTGCCTTGTAGTGTACTTATGAATGTTCGAAAAATTTAGTAAAATGATATGGTAAAAAAAAAAGCTTGGAACAAATGAATTATTGGACAGAGAAAAACAAGTTCATCCCTGTGGTAACAGGCCTGCAAGAAAGAGTCGGCCGATGACTTGGAGCTACTTGGCGGGACTGAAGAGAGCGGAAGACCATGGAAGAAAATTGGAGAGAAACGAGACAAAAAGGCACTTTCCTTCTCCACTCGCCTTCTTCCCCTTTTCCTAATTCGCTCGCATGTAACATGTTCACCCACGCGCGACCATAGCCTAGAAACTACTTTTCGTTAAGAATTTCAAATTACATTTTAAAAGCCGAAACACAATAAAGGCAGACGAGAGATGTTACGATTTCAGGTAGTACCGTTCGCAATTTCTGCAACCTTTGGTTTTAATCTTTCCATGAAAGTCTACGCACGTGAAAATCCATACAAAAATGGTGTATTTTTGGTTGGTTTTAAGCGCAAAAAAAAAAAACAAAAAAAACAGTGAAATCCGACGAGCGTAGCATTAATCGAAGGTAAGATCTTGAATTTGATGTTTCTTGAGAGTTTTATTTGGTGGTACCCATTGACAATTGGTTACGAGTAACTTATAATCAGAGACCAAAAAAAATCTCAAACTCGCTTCAGTCCTATTTTTCCGCCATATTGTAAAAGTGTAGCTAAATGTTGTGGGTAGTGGGTGGAAGTCGTGGGTCGTGGGTGTAGGTAAATGTCGTGGGTAAACAAAGTCTAGAAAAACATGAAAGAAAAACATGGTGCCGCAAGACTGACCGGACGCTTCGGCTGGCGCTGCGCGTTCTCGCATATGTGTATTTGCTGTTAGGCTAGTTAAGATCGTTTCTTTTTTCATCGTTGACTAATGGGAGACAGAGTGAAAGCGTTAAGAAGAGAAAACGGTTATTTAAAGAGACAACTGAATGATGTGCAGAAGTTTATCAGTAGTCTCCAGTCATTGTTGTCAATTTTAGTTTCTTTAGTTCTCTTGTTACTTTTAGCTGTATTTAGTTGTATTTATTTCCTGTAAACATAACCCGCCTAAATTAGCTTAGCTACCAGCGGGCATGTTATTGTACTTTTACCTCAAAACACAATAAAATAAAATATATGTAAAAGGTATGAAAATGTAAAGTAAAGTAATTGAAAAAAATAAATAGAAAATAGTTGTAAAATAGTTATGAAACGAAAATCTCCACCTCTTGATTGCCCTTTTCACGGCTTCTTCTTCGTCCTCTTCCTGATATTTCCTTAGCCACGTGGGACTTGGGTGCCCTTTCATAACGTCACTGTATACATCATACCTGAAAACGTTAACTTAAGAGAGGCGACTCCTTAATCGGCGCGCGCGACGCTGGAGATTTTTTCAAGCTGAGTGGTCAAAAGATTCCTTGGGGGCGTGAAGGGCTCACAAATTTTTGGACTTCTTGGGGCTGTAACGTTTCCTTTAAAGGCATATTTCTGAAATTGATACAAGCAACTACACTTGATTCCAGCAATATTTTGGATTAAGCGTCTCTATGGTTACCAGTCACGTGACCCTCTAGTGGCCAATTAAAAAATCAAAACTCCCAAAAGTTTCTCCTTCAAAAGTACGTAACCTGAAAATGTGATACTTTGTAGAAATACAGTGCATACAAAATTGAAGAACTTGCCCGACTTGAATCCTCAAATTTCATTTTTGTGACGTCACAACTGATGACGTCACATAATGGGGTTTTTAGGTCATGCGCAGTACTAATCTAAAAAATGGAGAATTTGAAACAATGACTTGAGGAAAATACAATAGTAAAAGTCTCAACTCATTATCTTCTGTAGTTTAAGAGATATTGGTAACATTCAATACATATTTTAAAAAATAGTTTGGACAAATTTGTGGCCGATTTTTGCACTTTTTTCCCAGTGCAGAAACACACTTTACTTGACTTTTCCACAGAATTTCTCTCTCCAATCACAACCGAAGCTATCACCTATTCGCTTGTTGTGTTTAGTCACTCTTTGTCCTTAATTTCCCAGGGTTTCGTGGAATGTAACTGAGGACTAAATCCGCTACGGCTCAAATAAGAGTAGTAAACGAGTTTCCTCGTAGTCGGCATTAGAAGCCATTATTGGTAACGTCATTGAGTATCCAGAAGTGGTTCTGAACCGGAATGACATTGTATCCCTTGGCCCCGTGCATGCCAAAAAGGAAACAGCTTTAGATGGACATATGAATGTGAGGAAGCCTTCCTGGAAATTAAGGGGAAACTGGCGAATGCCTCCATCCTTGCTTTCCCCCAGATGGGCGTACCATTCACCCTGGACAATGATGCCAGTGATAGTGGGCTAGGGGCGGTGTTGTATCCGGTTCAAAGTGGGAAGGAACGTGTAATAACATTCGCTGCGCGTGCACTATCAAATGCAGAGAGGAATTATAGCACCACCCAGAAGGAACTGTTGGCTCTTGTGTGGGCATTGCAATAGTGCTTTGCAATGGCAAATCCTAATGGCCTGGTGGCTTAAACGACTTAGTGGCTTAGATTTCGAGGTGGAACATCGTCCGGCTCCGTTACATAGCAATGCAGATCGGACTGTCTCGTGTTCCCTGGGACGAGGATTCATCAGTTAAGGACAGGAGAGATGCCATGCTGATTCAATTTGTCAGTATGGAACCCCTGTCAAGGAACAGTATACGTGCGACCCAGGACCCAGAAGCAAGATACTGTCCTTTCGCTTGTTGTTAAGTGGCTTAAACCTGGTATCATACCCCCAAGAGGAGACGTAAAGGGAGGGGGACGCACTGGTCACAGTGGAGAAGGACGGTTTGGTGTTTAGACGTTGGAAACGAAGTGACAGGCCAAGTGATGTATCATCGAATCTGCTTGACTGAGAGAGTCTCGTACACAAATTTTGTGCACCTTGCCCGACGATCCTTTAGCTGGCCACCTTGGCGTGTCGAAGATTCTAGAAAAGTTTTATTGGCAAAGCATGCGGGAGGATGTTTAGAATCACATTGGGAGGTGCGGTCCATGTGCTGAAAGTAACGATCCGTCCAAAACAGCTTAAGGCGCCTCTTATCAACATTAAGGCCGGTCACCTCTTACGAAGGGTCGCAATAGACATTGTTGGCAAATAAAGTGATGGATGACTACATATGCTGGTTTGTTTGTTTCGAGGGTTGACATTCTAATCAAGGAGCTAATAAGGATGGAACTGATTTTAGAGGACTGTGTGATTTGATAATCTAGCGAAAACAATGGCAACACCTTACTATCCCCATGAGATGGGCAGGTGGAGAGACTGAACAAATCTCTGGTGAAGATCCTGTGTAAGCTGATTTCTGATCATCGCCGGGACTGGGCGGACTTTGTGCCGAAAGCAGTTCTTGCTTACAACACCAGTGTGCATGAATCGACTGGATGTACCCCTTACCGCCTGATGTTCGGCAGGAAAGCATCCTCGGAGACCCAGGGGCAGTCAGTCGAGTCGGGAGAAAAGGCGTGGCGAAAATTTTCAAGTACGGGCGAAAGAGCCCCTGGGTACCGACTGTCACCGAGCTACTTCCAAAAATTCAAGCGGATTCTGGCTCCTGATTGGGCACAAAAAATGTTTTTGTATTATTGTGCCCAATCGGCGAACAGTTTCTCCCATCGCTTCATCGTTGGCTGTGTCGGCGCATTTTTGCTACTATTTCCGTTTGACTTTTAGCTCCATTTCCCTGGACAAATTTCGATACGAAGCGAATTAATTTCTTTTAAAAATTAGTGTTACCTGTTATTCCAAAAAGAATACAGTCAATTTTTATTATTCTACTTTACATTTACTGTAAAAATTGTCACATAATTATCGTAATTTAAGCCGAACAGTGTTTGAAAATATTATTCTTAAGATTTAGATATCGGATTATAAGAATAAATGCAGAAGGGCAAGATATACTTAAACTAATTACGTGCCCTTTGATTAAATTACAGTTTTACTTAGGGTAAAAGAGAAAAAAAGAAATATGTAAACTATGAAAGTATAAGAGAGAGGAAAAAGGAAAGTACACACAGAAAAATATGTTACATTCAAGGTCGGTGTGGCGATGATTAATACCGAGCAAGATAATGGTAATATAGTTCTCTTTTAAACAAGTTTTTAGTTGTCTTTTCAAGTATGGATAAAGAAATATCATTTCAATGATAACATCCTATAAGTGTTGAACAGAATTTTCTTATATTTATTCTAAAGGTGCTCAGGATTTAGGTGCTGCAAGGATGGCATTTCTGGTGTCATAATTATGTTGCTCAGACACCTTTAGCTTTTAAGTTTAAAATGTCTTGAATGATTTGCTTCTGTCCTTTGCTCAGTTGTGCCAGCGACTCTTGTACAAAATTTTCAAAGTCTTCTTAATTCTGGAACCTCTGTCTGCTGCTTCTTTTTTCCTCTCTTAGTTGCGGACATTTTTTGTATAAAGGATATTGACGTGAAAGTTAAATGAAAGGGAAGATTTGAAAAAGAAACTTGAACTTATTTTCTCTTCAACACGGAGCATCAAAATTCGCGGCCATCTCGCTTGACGACCGCTGACCAGTCACGATTGATGGAGATTTGTTCCCAACCAGGGGTTTTTAGGAGAATGTACTCTACGCGCTTAGCGCCCGCTCCCCAGGATTCCGGAAGAGAACGCTCGGTTACGAAGTTTTAATGAATGCAGGTCGACTTCTGAATCAAAACAAAGCGTGTTTCCAGGCTTTCTACAATATACGGCCAGAATTTACCAGAAAAGACTAAAGACTGCTACAATGTAAGTAAATCAACTTCATTAAATAAAATTTTAACCCGACTCAGTCGAAACCCATGTTTCATAAAGCCCATGATTTATGTTCCTGTATACTTTGCTTTCAATTTACTACAGCAGTACCACATAATGTTACTGGCATAATGTTACTGACAGTTCAAGTAAAACGAGTGAAAAAACAAAAAGAAAAAGAAAAAAAACTTGCCTCTTGGAAAATTCCAAGCCTGATTCTCAGAATTCTAAAACAG